CCTCGGGGTCGTACGGAAACCCGCTTGGCCCGTTGCCGTCGCCGCAGTGCGGGTGCTCACCCGGCATGGTGAGGTTGAAGACGGCCTTGATCTTGAGGCTAGATAAATGTCGCCGTGAGCAAATAGAAAATGGCAAGATGCGGTACCGTTGGAATTGATCGGCGATGCGGTACGTCTGCATGAGTCGAGACGACGGGCGCATCATGCCCAAGATCGAGTCGGTCACCCAGTCGGCGTGAAGCCCCGCGACCGGACTGTCCGTCTTGAGGAGCGCGGTGTGTTCGCTGCAGCGCTTGCATTTAGGGCCGCCGCAGAAGCGACACTTGATCGTGAGAGATTTTTCCCACTCACGCGGCCCCACTGTCATCGGGAGGGCTGTCGGCCGCGTCGGCGTGCGCGGTGGGCTCGACATGCACAATAATTTCAAGTGAAACCCACGCGAAACCGCAGATCAAGGGAATAAACAATCTTGCGGCAGATGGACGACCATGACGGCCTCCCGCTGCGCCCGCGGGGCGCCAACGTCGGGTATGAGATTACGCGTCTCGAGGCTGTGGACGCGCCCCACTGGCAGCTCCAAGCATCGACAACCGAGAACAACCACCTCGCTGTGTTTTCCTCTCTGGAAGCGTATGCTGCCACGTCATATGACATGTGGCGTGATAGGTTCACTCTAGGTACATGCACACGTCGCTGGACGAGCTTCACTGGTACCATGGAGTGGGCAAAGCACTCGTTGCGATGGCCATGGTCGACCTGCTCCTGCGGCGCCTGGACCCTGTCGTCTACGGCCCGCTCGTCGCATTTGCGGCGCCTACCCACACTTTTTTACAAGAGCTGGCGCAGCAGCAGCGAAAGCCAACTGTGATGAGGTTGCAGATTCCCGAGATCTCGCCGAGACGGTCGCCTCGCGCGTCGCCGCGGCCCGCTGCGCCGTCTCCGGTGGCGCTGCCTCCGAAGCGCTTCATTGAGCTGCCAAAGACCGAGGTTCATGTGCTCGAAGTCGCCGTTTACCTCCGCAGCGTCCTCTTGCAGTTGGTCGCCAAAGACGCGCCAAAGAAGACGCTTCCGGCGCCGCCTCTCGACGCGCTGCAGGTATTACGCCATACCAAAGTCCAGTTGCGCCAAAAGCAGTTCTTTCCCGGCCTTCTCGTCGCCCTGCCAGCGCGCCACGGTACGCCATGATTCTCTTGCATACGCATGCATCAACTGACCAGCTCCGTAGGCACCAAGGCAAAGAGCAGCTTGAACGGGCTCGAGGCCAACCTGCACCAAGTGTTTTCGACGTCGATTCTGTGCATCCACGACGTCATTCGCAGCATCGGAGTGCACAGCGCCGAGCTCGCGTCCTGTGCCTTTGGCCTCCTCGGCGACATCCTCGTCGCGATCCAAGCCTACCTGGCCGAGGTTGCCGAGCATCGCAAGGTCCATCGCGCGCGCATCAAGAGTCTTCGCGTCCGGCGCCAGGAGCTCCGGGCGCAGCTGACAGACCTCGATGCCTTGGCTGCCAACGCGGCAAAACAGTCGATTGCACTGGCAACCGTCTTGAGCAACATCGAGGCCGAGCACGCCGCGCTGCAACGCGAGTGCGACTGGCACAAAACGTCGCGCGACCTCTTCATCTACACAGTACGACGCTTTGCCACGGCGATGCAATCACATTTTTCGTAGCTCGAAGCGCTGCATACGAGCGCGGGCTTGCCACCGCAGATGTTGGTCACGGAAGACGGCGCGTCGCGTGCCCTCGCAGCCGGCAGCAGTCTCTGGCGCACGGCCGACGTCGAGAACATCAAGTACCTCGGGCATCTCTTGAGTTTGAGCCGCAGCTATGTGCACTTGTTCCTTCAAGATGAGGCGCCCGAGCCCGAGCCGCGACCACCGCATGGTCGACGCAACTCGATCAATGCCCGTCCGGCGCGCAAGTCGATGCCGGAGAGAACCGAAAATCTCAAGCAGCATCTGTTGAACGTCAAGGCCAAAGACAAAGCGGCAGCACCAGTGGTCGACACCGAGGAGCCAGCGGGCGACGTCATGCACCGAGTGACGCACGCCGAGCTCCTCGTGCTCTCGACGATCCAAGACAGTCTTCGCGCCGCGGAACGGTTTACGGCCTTGGCGCACCGTCGGCAGCACCTTATACACTGCGACGCGTCGACGCAGACCCACAGTCCTGCAACGACTGTGTACGTACATGAGGCCACGGCGTCGGTGTCACTTGCGCGATGTAGGTCCTTGATGCTAGCGCCGCCCCTGCGACTGCGCGAGCTCGTCGCGCGCAAGCTCCCACCAGTGTACCAGTCGGCGCTTCCGAGTCTGCCCGACGACGCGCCGTTTGTCGCCATGGGTCGCGAAGAGCTGTTGCGAACCATCGCGCAGCTGTTGGCAGCCTTCGACGAGGTTTCAGCGTCGACGATTCACAGAGGGGGTGCGATCACTTTGCGTAGAACCAAACAGCGTCCCTTGTCCTCTCGAGCTTTGTACCGCTGTACTTTTACGTGCATCCCAAGCAGACGGGTTGTCCGCAGGTCGAGTGCGCGCGCTTCCTTCTCTCGCTGCACCACGAGACGTCCGGGCTCCACGTGACGAATCTGCTGATTGTGTTTGCGGCGCTTCTGGAGCTTGGTTCGACGGCGCTGACGCTGCCACGGCGCGGCCTCGACGCGTTCCTTGCCGCCCGGCGCACGTGTCTCGGGCATGCCGTCGCCAAAGGCCAGGCCAGCCTCGGGTCCACCGACGTCGTCTGGGGCTTTACAAAAGAGAGAGACGCGCACAGCGGCAACACGCTGCTGGAGACCGTGCACCGCGCGATCCACGCGAGCTCGCACCTGCTCGGTAGTCGCCATAGTCCACCTCTGTCAACTGATTTCGAGTAGGGGTGCGCGAGAAGCAGTCGCAGATCGCTACGAACAAGTCGTTTGTCGTCGGCTTGGCCGTCGAAGCCGACGGTGTCGCCGAGGTCCAGCGCACGCGCGTGATCAGCATCCAGGCGGGGCTCCTCTGCATCATGCAGGTGTGGATCGAAGAGCACCACTTTGTCTTTCAAGTGCTCACGAGTATGGTTGATCGTCCGTTGCGTGGTCCTCATGCTGCGTATGAGATGTGTTCCAGGCCGCGCTCGGTCGACCTGACGGAAGTCTGGCGTTGGACGAGTTTACGACCATTCTGGGCTACATGGACCCTCTCTTCACCCCCACGCGCCTCACAAGTGTCTACATGCAGGTGTGCCTACCCTCTTTGTCATGATACCGAGGGTAAAAGCGTAGGCGGCGGCCCTCGCCGAGGGTGCGAATGCACTGGGCGAAGCCACAGCGCGCGACCTTGTGCGCGTGCTGTACGCAAGCGATCTCTTCACTGAGAGCAAGAAGCACTGGGTTGGCGTGGATAGATGTGTCTGTGTGCTACGTTCGGATAGGTGTACACGCCGCCAATGCAGCTCTCCAACCAGAAAGCTTGGGAGGACGGACCGGGCGGTCTCAAGGCCATGTGGAAGATCGTCCGAGAGCGCCTTCTGGACAAACTCGCCGAGCTCAACGCCGACCAGATCAACGTGGCGCTCGTGCACACGTGCTTTGAGCGGTGCGTCGCTCAACGGTCTGGCTGCTGTAAACGTTGCCATAGCTTCAAGAAGATGGAATTGCTTCTGGTCCAAGCCGAGAAGGCCGGTGTGTTCGACAATAACATCGTGGCCGTTGCGTGGTACGCCTTCCACTTTCTGCAGCAGGACGTCGCGTGGACCGCGCACGTGATCACCAAGCAGCAGCAGCACAAACCAAAGGTCTCCACCCAACACAGTATCTGTGTCCGAGCCGCAGACTTGTGTAGAAGCACCACGCGGCCCATGGCGCCGCGCAGCGCTGGGACTCGACCCGGCGGCTGGCCAACTTGTACGAGTACGTGACGGCCAAGGACCGGCGCGGGTCGGCGCAGTCGACAGTCGAATCGTAATACAGTCTTTAAAGCTCGGTCGCGACTTCAAGGTGGTTTTGTACAAAGTACGGCGTCCGCTTGCGCTTCTTGGTCGGCGTCTGCATGAACGACTTGATCGACTGCGTGCCGGCGGGGGCGTCCTACACCGGTTGACGCATCGTTTGGGGGTAAGACGGCGCTTACCTCCTTGTCGTGGGGCCACTCGACCGCGGCCATGCGATCGAGGTACGACTCGAGCGTGCCCCAGCTAAAACGCAGGATATTGGGGTAGCCAAAGACGCGCTCGACGTGGGCCGCGAGCCACTGCTTGGTCCTTTCGTCGCAGAGATTAGCACCACTCAGTCGTAGGAGATGTAGTACTTGGGGTCGCTGGGGTAGCCCGACCCATAGTCAATCGGTAGCTTCAAGCTCGCGTGCTCCCATGTCCACTCGCTCACCTCGGCGTCGCGCGTGACCTTGGCCGCAATACTGGCCGCGGACACGACCTTGTAGAGGCTATCGGCCTTCTTCTCGACTGTGAACGTGATCGCGCCGCCGAAGCGCTTGGTCAGGAAGGACTGGTACCAGCCCGGGTCGCCGACCGTGTCGACGTACACGTGCGTGAGGCGGACGCCGGCCTTTTGCACCGCGAGGATCATCTCGATGGCGGCGTCGCGCGACATCTCGTTGAGGTTGCGCCGGCGCGTGAGCATGTTGTGCGAGATCTCGGCCGCCGAGATGGACCGCGTGACGTACCCGACGTCGGCCGTGGCCTTGATCTTGGCGAAGAGCTGCGTGCGCGAGTCGTGCGAGAGCGCTTTCGAGTCGTCAAAGCCCATGGCGCGCATGGTGCTGTCGAGGGAGACGGGCCAGTAGGCCGCGCCGTAGACCATCGGGCCCAGAATCGGCCCTCGCCCCGCCTCGTCGATGCCCAGCATCACGTCGGCGCCGTCCAAGCACGACGCCGGCACGCGGCTCGTCGTCAGCACCATCGTGTCGCTTGGCCAATAATGATCTTGACGCACTAGCTGGCGTAAAGATCGTCGAGATTGTCAAGATTGTCAAGAATGCGTGGAAAATGGCGCTCGTCCAGCAAAGGGGGAGGAGGTAGCACTACAGAGGGGTGAGTTGCTACGCTCTACGCCGTAGCAGGAGTGCAGTGCAAAGGTGTGCTCCTCTCGTCGCCAAAGGATCGGTACCTACACATATCGTACGTCTGCATCGGGCAGACGATCCAGCGTCCTCTCGTGCTACAAAGGTTTATCCCTTGCAGCAAAAGTAGGTGTACACTCGCAGAAAGGAGTTGTTGTTAGCAGACGAGCGCGTGCAATTTCAAAGGGCGCCACTTGATGAGCTGGTTGATGAAGAGCGAGAACTTCTTCGCCCACTTGGTCGAAATGACTGGATTGCCACGTCGTGTGCCTGCCAGCGAGCAACGCCCGAGTGGGTTTGTCTTGGCGATCTGAATCGGACCGTCCGCTAACATGCGTGCTGTCATGATGCTGGAGCCAGTCTCGGTCCACGTCTTAGCGTCAGATACGACCGGTGACGGTCACGTAGCGCGACAAACGTACGCAGCCTATCCGACTCATGAGTCCCGAGCTCGCCGGACAGTCCAGCGACGCTGTGCTCGCTCGCCCAAAACAGCGTCATAGAGTGCCTGGACGACTGAGCTCCAGTGCGCAGACCAACACAATATCTTCCCACGCTTAGATTCCCTTGCACAAGACCGCCACCGACGAGATGCGCTGGCCGCGTGCAATCAACATGTGTTTTGAGAACGATGGGCTTTATGTCATATACGCACCTATTTTCCTATTATAAGCACCTTTTGTCGTAAAAGGAGCACCCAAACGACCTGCGCACATCGCCATGTGCCACAATCTGGCTATCTTCGAGGAAGCATGAAGCGCGTGCGAGTGCTGGAGCGGGTCGCCGGCGGTAATCGGCCATGTCGATGGCTGCGCCGAGGGCTAAAACGGCTGTAGTCGTCGTCTTCATCGGCGTCGTCTGCGGGATCCTCGCCCTCTGCGGCGTCTTCAAGTCGTCACCGACGCCAACGTTCGACGACGTCGCGCCGACCGCCAACAACGACGCGGGCAACACGCGACCGGGCAACTGCTCGAGCGTTCCGCCCGGGAAGCGCGTCGTCGCGTACTGGAGCTCCGAGATGGCGGGCTGCGAATCGGTGCGCCACGCCTGCCCCACCTGCGCTCATACTGATGTAGCTTCCCGACGGCGTCACGCACGTCGTGCTCTTCGCGGCGACCGTCGGTCCGAACGGCGCCGTCGCAACGTCGCTCCAGGCGTCGGACGACGTTGTCAACGCCTGCCTCTCGGCATTGCACACGTACGGTCTTGTCTCGTGGACCAGGACTGAGGATACACTGTAGACGCTGCGTGGACGTGCTTGTCGGGCTCCACAGCGCCAACACATCCGAGCTCATTGCGTCGCCGCCGGCCCAGGTCGCCGACGGTGTCTCGACGCTCCTTGGCAAGTTTGATTTTGACGGTGTCGCCGTCCACGACGAGTCGGACGCGACCTCCAACTACACCAACGACGGCGTCGTCGCCTACATGACGGCGCTCTCCGACGTCGTCCGCCCGAGAAACCTCACGCTCACGTACGACGCGCGCCTGTTTGAGGCCGACGCAAGCGTCTGCGCCGAGTCCAAGTGCTTTCCGTCCGGCCTCGTCGCGCTCGTCGACTGGGTCAACGTCTTCGCGTTCAACGCGGCGAAGGACGACGCCGAGGCCAGCGTCGTGTACGCGGCCGCGCTCTCGTCCGACGGCGTCTTTGCCAAGTGGACGGCCCTCCTGGGCGCCGCGAAAGTCAACATTGTCGTCTCGGCGGCCGGCAGTGCGTCGTGGGGCCCGGACCTGAGCTTGGCGACGATCGCGAGCTACACGACCTTTGGCGGCGCGGCGGGCGGCGTCGGCGTCTGGACCGCGTCGCAGGACATGTACACCGAGTACCCGGTGCTGAGCCACGTGCTCGACACGCGCCAGGGGTTCCAGAGCGTGCACACGGCGCCGCCAACCGCCGTGGCCACGCCCCCCAAGGCCACGAAACCCCTCTCGGTGTTTTGCCGCAGCGGCATCAGCTACACGGTCAAGACGGGCGACGCGGCGTGGTCCATCGTCACGAGTGTCTGCAAGAAGACCACCAACACCAAGTGCAGCCGCATGGGCATCTGGCTCTACCGGACGAGCTCCCTCGACCTCTGTCCGAGCGATCTCGGCACGGGCGACAAGGTCACCGTCTGCTGCGGCGTCAACTAGCACGTGCATTGACTCACGTTAAGGAAGCAGCGTCAGCACTTTGAGACGGTCGCCAACCGCGATCGACGCGCCGTGGAGCGTGACAACGTTCGAGCCAAAAAGACCTACGACGCGTCAACTATCAAACTATCAAGCGTTTGGATGTACGTCGTTGGCGCGCTTGTTGAGGAACGCCAGCTGCGCGCCGTTGCTACACCAAACGTGAGCCATGGTACATGGACACCGTCGCACCGAGAGGCGAGAAGGGCCGACTGCAGCGCGGCGCCAGCGTCGTCCTTTTCGCCCGTCGCTGGGTTCACGGAGGGCATGCTGCAGCGCGAACAGGGCTTGACGTTCTGGAACCGAACGGATCCGATCTCAAAGCAGTCCCAGACGTCATCGGCGAACGCCGGCGTCCCCGTCATGACAATACTACAAGGGACTCGCATTCCAGAGGTAGGAGAGGCAGGAGCGTACTTGGGGCGGAAGCGAGCCATCTCGACGGGGTGCTTGGCGGCGGCGCCCAATGCGTCGATCGACGCCTGGCACGCAATCAGAATCGGGTACCCGTCCGCAAACGCTACATAAAACATCCATTTCGTCCTTTGCAAAGAATGGACAGATTGTCTGTTATACCTGTGGCATGGTCCGGTGCAAAGGCGTCTTCGCACGGGCGATGGCAGCCGTCTTTGAAGCGGACCAGACGCACGCCCGGGACGTTGAGGAACGTTGCGGCCCACTGCGCCGCCGCGTCGCCTTGGTCGACGCCCTGCATGTAGTCCTTCCAGACGCGCACACGGTGCTCGACGCCCGACCGCAGCACCGGCACGCAGAGCGGCGGCATGCCTGGCGCCGTCAGCGTCAGCGCCTACGCCGAGCGTGAAGCGTGCCCTTGTATTGTACGATACCTCGGCGGCCGTCACGTCGACCTCCGGCGCAATCAAAGCCATGCTCGGGTGCTTGCGCTGCGAGAGAAAGGTGCCTTTGGCGTCAATGAACATCCACTGGCGGTCGCAGCGCAAGCCGATGGCTACGGTTGAAGGTCGCAAGGCGTCCAGAAAGGAAAGACGTACGGAGCACGGCCGACGACGCGAGGCGGAGGCCCTTGCACGACTTGATCGGGTACACGTACAGGTCTTGGACCGTCGCCGTCACGACGTCGTCCGACGCGACGGTGACGCGCTCATGCGTCGCCGTCTCGAGGGCATACGCCTCCTTCGCCGCATCGAACGCGACGACCTACCCCGGAACATTCGTCTTCGGGCACGACGCAAGACCGCTACCGTGGCCGTTCCGTGGCGCGCTGTCACGACGGGGCAGTTGGGCGGGTATGCGTTCGGGCGCGCGGCTTCGGCGTCGAGAGCAGCGGCGCGGATCGTGGGCACGAGCGTCTAGTTGGAGAGAGCTTGAGCGCACGCCACGGGCGCATGGGTAGTACCGTCGGCGCGCCCGTCGTCGGCGCCAAGAGGCGGCTGAGCATCTTGGGGATAAAGTACGTGACCGCGAGCGAGACCACGCACAGAAGAGCGACCGCTTGCTCGATCGGGACGTACTGCGTCTATCCACGGCGATGGCGTGAACGCGAGAAGCGCCAAAGGTTTGGATCCTACAAGCAGGCCAAGCGGCTGGCCCACGAGCGCGGACGTGATGGGGTGTTCGTGGAGCGTGTCCAAGATCATGCGTGTGTGCGCCTCGCGGGCCGCAATGGCCTACGCAGCATGGCACGACGTTGAGCATCAAAACGTCGTACGTCGACGGAGCGAGCAACTGCCGCCGCTTGAGCGCGTACTTGGGCAGCGTGCGCGTCTTCGGCCATGCAGCGCGCAACGAGCGCAGCAGCAAGCGCGGCGCGGACGACCATTGCTTCGTCTTCCGAGCCAATTCCAGAGTGTTCGGCAAGATACAGGCAATCTGAGAATTATCAAAATCAATGTATTTGCCTGGCGTGGGCCACCTGCACGGCAGCGCCTGGCGTGTTGCGATTGGAACGAGCTAGAACCGCCGCCGCTTTCCTTGCAGCAACCACGCTGCCGGCGGTAGCTCACTTAAACAGCTCGCGTCGGACCAAGGTCGTGTTTCGACCAAGACACTCTAAATGCATTGCACAATACCTAAATAAAACGCCCCTGGGTAAGTTTTGCCTATAAACCCCACTGCTGCCGGTCATACTCGCTGCTGCATCCACTCAAGCGGGTGAAGGCAGCACGAGGCGTATCTACGTGCGGAAGCCCTTGGCCAAAGGTTTCATCGCGCTGTCTCGGTTGGTGTTGAAGGTAGGTCGTCCATTACAATAGATAAAACTATAAAATTGTCGGACTGTCTCCGTTGGGTTGATCGCCAGACGTTGAACCCGACGCAGGCCGGAGCACGGGCCAGAGGGAGCGGAACGCGGCTTGGTGTATGGACGCCGTCGTAGGCGTCGACTAGAGGAAGCCGGAGAGCGTTGTCGGCAAGGTCACGCCAGAGGGACCGTGACTGCGTGGAGCGTGCTCCCTCTCTCAGTGGCGACGCCATCAAGCTGGCAAAAAAGGCGCCAATATATCCGGATGCGGCGGCTCTCTGCCTGCGATAGCACTTGCTGTTTGTATGATCGAGTTTAAGAGTATCCGGATGTTGGTGATAGAGGGACCGACCGGGAAGCACTCTGGGGTTTCGTGGTCGATGAGGGAGCACGAGGCCGAGCGTGGCAGCGTCGACCAGCCGCGGCCCGCGATGAAGCAGACCGGCATGGCCGACTTCCTCACCAAGGACGAACAGGACGCCAGCGCACCGGTCGCGCCCACGAGCCCCGTCGCGGTGACACACCGATCCAACTCGCTGAGCTCCATCTTGAACGACGACGACGGCGGCGATGAGCCGCAGGTTGACGTCTCGGACCCCAAGTTCTCGCCGCATGTGGTCGACCTTGCGTTCGTCGCGCAGCTCGAGGCCGGCGCCAACATCGACGCCAAGTGCCAGAAAGACTTCCATTGGTACGCGTCCAGCGTTGTCGCCAAGACGCCCGAGTATGTCAAGGTGCACTTCGTGGGATACGGCCCCCAGTACGATCGGATCTACTACGAAGACAGCTACGACTGCCTCGCGCCCGAGGACATGTACACGCGCGACGCCAAGCGCATGTCCAACAAGTCGCGCGTCGCTCCGTCGGCAGAGTATCTGCTGTTCAAGGCGACCGGCAAGCCGCTGCCGGCACGCAAACCCATCATCACGCGGCCTCTAAAGGTGTCCAAGCCAAAGGCCGCGCCCAAGAATCCGCAGCCAAAGAAGAAGGCGCTGCCCCGCAACGTCGACCTCGAGCGCATCGCCGACATGCGGCCGCGTATAAAGCGCGCAGCAAAGGGCGACGAGGTTGAGGCGCCTCCGCCTCGCGTTGTCTCGAGCGCCGAAGAAGATGAGGACGAGGACGACGAGCCGATGCCCAAGAAGACCAAGATGGCCTCGAACGAGCCTGCGACTCCCGCGTGGCTATCGACCGGGCGCTCGGACGAAGAGCTTCGAGACGCTGTGTTCTTAGCTGCCACTCGGCGCGCGGCCGACGAGCTCGCAAACCCTCAGCCGATGATGCACATGGACAAGGAAATTTGCGCCAGCTGCGTCCAGGTCGACGACGAGCAGATGAGCGACCTCGTCTACTGCGATGGACCTTGCTGCCGCGTCTTCCACCAGTGCTGCCTCGGGCTCGACGACACCGACGTGCAGTCGGCCGAGCCCTTCTTCTGCGACGACTGCAAGAGCGGGCAGCACGACTGCTTCCTCTGCGGCGAGCCTGGTGCGTACAAGCAGAACCTGCTGCGCTGCGACCTCAAGGGCTGCGGCCGCTTTTACCACTTTGAGTGCATTGTCCGGGACACCCGCTTCGACGTCGACGAGCGCTCGTTCCACATCAAGTGTCCGGCCCACCACTGCTGGACGTGCGACGTGCGGCGGACGAAGGACGCGAACCTCATGCAGTGCCTCAAGTGCCCGACCTCGTACCACCCGGGCTGCATCCCGCCGAGCGCCCGCTACAACAACGTCGCGACCATCTGCGGCAAGCACAAGGACCCGCTGCCCGACGTGCCGCCGCACTACATGGGCGGCGACATTGTGCATCGCGACGGCAAGGTCCGGTTTCCCGAGTTGTACCTCCCCAAGGACACGCCGCTCTTCGACGACGCGAGTGCGCTCCTGCACTTCCGCCTCAGCCGCGCGATCCTGGAAGAGCACAACGCGCAGCCTCCGCGGTACCAGAAGCTCAAGCGCAACCGGTACCTCTTCAAGCCGGGGAAGAACCCGGATCTGAACGACATGCCGCGCTGCGTGTGCACGGAAACCTGCGGCGACGACTGCATCAACCGCGCCATCTTTGTCGAGTGCGTCGGTGACGGCCGCGACGGCAGCGCCAAAATGTTCAACTGCAACCTCGGCCCTGGCTGCGGCAACCGCGCGCTGCAAGAGTGCAAGATCCCGACGACCGCCGTCGTTCCGTGCGGCAGCAAGGGCTTTGGGCTCAAGACGCTCGCGCCCATCAAGGGCGGCGACCTCGTGGTCGAGTACGTTGGCGAGGTCATCAACGAAGAGATGAAGACGAAGCGGCTCGGCGAGCTCCACGACATCAACTGGTACATCATGGCACTCGTGCCCGGCCGCATGTACATTGACGGCCGCTTCAAGGGCTCCGAGTCGCGCTTCATCAACCACTCGTGCGACCCCAACTGCCACCTCCTCATCTGGGACGTCGGCGAGCACAAGCGCATTGCGATCACGGCGCTGCGGGACATTGAGCCCAACGAAGAGCTCTCGTACGACTACCAGATGGAGACGACGGCCGCGTCGGCCTTCACGTGCTACTGCGGCGCCGCGACGTGCCGAGGCACGATGGCGCCCGACGACCTCAACAACACGAAGGAAGAGAAGGCGGCCAAGAAGGCGGCGGAGAAGGCGGCCAAGAAGCCCGCCAAGAAGACCAAGAAGCGTCGTGTGGCCAAGGCGGCCGAGCCGACGACCAGCGGCGAAGCCTCGGACGACACGGACGAGGCCGCCGTCAAGAGGGAGGACGAGCCGACGCCCAAGGCCGAGACGGCGTGCGATAATGACCCGATGGGCCAACGAGACGTCGAGACTGCAACCAAGGCCGAGGCGCCTTGCGCAATATAGTCCATAGACGCTTTGGCAGTTGTTATAATGGACAGATTGTACACATCTACTACTAGTACATGGCAAGAGTGATGGTGCCCCGGGGCACGTACTCTTGGCCAATCACAACGTTTGATCCAGCGATGCCGGGGTTGACGGACGCATCGCTGGCCGACCTCGCGGGCCACATGCGCGCGCTCCTGCGCGACGGCGAGGCCCAGTCCGTGGCCGCGCTCGGCAGCCTCCTCTGCTCGCAGGCCCACGGCTCGCAGCAGCAGCAGCGCCGGCTCGACGAGCACCCGGCCATCTACGCGCTGTACGCGGACGCGCTCGTCGCCAAGGCCGAGCACAAGCGGGCGCTCGTACGACGCGCCGCCTCTGCGCGATGGCTCACTGCTACGATAGCGCTATTTTGGCATGTACCTCTCTTCGCCAAGCGCCGGCGAGGGCACGACCGTGCGCCTCACGATGGCCAAGTGCCACCGCGAGCTCGGCGATACCGAGGCCGCGCTACAGACCGTACGCGCATCGTGGCTGGTCGTGGATTGTGACCCTTGCTGAGTTAGCTCGAATCGATTCCTGCCTCGGCGCGGACGCTCCCCGTGCACATGCTTCTCGGGAAGCTCTTGAAGAGCCAAGGCCAGTTCCGGTACATGGACCTTCCATCGACCATGACCTCATGCATGCGCTGTGCTAGGCGCGCCGAAGAGAGCTTTGCCGCCGTTCTCAAGTCGGCCGCGATCTCCGATGCGTGTCTCAGACGATGTCGCGTAGGCTGAACCCGTTTGCGCTGGAAGCGTCCATGGCCCTCGCCGAGGTCGCCGCGCAGATGGAAGTTGAGCGCAAGCCGACGTCAAAAGGCTACTACGACCGACTGCCGCCGGGCGACACCGAGTGGCTCGAGACGCTGCCCGTGGCGCACAACCATGTGCTCGGCCACCGCCTCCACGGTCCGCGCATGCCTGCTTCTGACTCTGGCTCATGCTACGTAGCCGGCCTTGAGGCAATCGCGGCGCTGGAGACGCAGTTCGGACTGAACGTGTACTGCACGCTGCAGAAAGCCAAGCTGCAAGCCGACCTCGAGTGGCACGAGCTCGCCCGCGCGACCTTTGGACGCGTACGGTTGCTCGCTACGATTCTATGCTATCAACGGCCTCGTAGGCGCGGCAACTGGACCCAACCAACGTCGACGACATGGACATTTACGCGCGCCTGTTGCGAGATGCGGGGAGTGCGCCGCCTTTGAACCAGTGGGTGTTCTAGTTGCAGTCCATTCCTGACGGATCTTCGTAGCCTTGTCCAGGACCTCTTTAGCATCTCGATGAATCGTCCCGAGCCGTGGCTGGCCGCCGCCTGCTACAGCGAGCTCAAGACCGAAACCACCGCCGCGCTCCAGCTCGTCGATCGCGTCCGTCTCCACTCCAGTATCAACTTGATACGAAAGAGGTGTAGGCCATTGTCGTGGACCCGTCGTTTGCGCGGAGTTACGTGGCGCGCGGGCGGCTCCTCCTCGCGATGGACCGCCCCGAGCACGCGGTGGCAGCGTTTACCACCGGGTGTCGTTTGGAGCGGAGCCTCGAGGCGTACGAAGGGCTCGTCGAGGGCTACTGCGACCTCTGCCTCAAGGGCGACGACAAGTACCTCGACGCCATGCACGCCGCGCGCCTCGCCCTCCTCCTCGCACCGCAGACCGCCCGCGCCCTTGTCCTTGTCGGCAGCGTCCTTTCGCTGCGACCCGACCGCCGCGACGAGGTTGATATTGACTCGATACAGACTTGATACAGCGCTGAATACACCGTAGGCGCGGCGCACGTTTGAGAAGGCGCTCGCGGCGAACCCCGAGGCCCTGCGCGCGCACTTGGGCCTCGTCGACCTCTTCATCCAAGACGACAACCTGACAGCCGCCGTCAACACGTACCGCCTCCTGCGGCGATGGAACGTTATACTAGACATGTAGGCTCGAGGGGCTCGTGGCCAAGACGCCGCGCGATGTGCTCTTCGCCAAGCTCGGCGACGTCTACGTGCTACGGCGCGAGTACAACGTCGGGCTGCAGCACTACCACCGCGCGCTGAGTCTCAACAGCAATCTGTCAAGTGCGCTCGTGGGTCTAGACCGCGTCGAGAAGCTCCTGCGCGGCGAAGACCCGGACGCGGGCTTGAGCACGATCTCGGCCCTGGACGACGACATGGACGAGCCAGAGCTGTACACGGACTCCCCCTCTGACTTTATTTTAGTTCGTATTAGCAAGGTGGTAAACCCCTTCAACTAATAGGGGTGGAATGTAATGCAGGGTCGTTGAATTCAAAGAGACGCGTGATGACGCCACGCTGCCGAGCGTCAACGCATCCGATGATGACGCCCCGTCTTGGATTACGACAAACAGCTGTTGGGTCGACAGTCATTTTCTCTCATTTTCCAATTGTCTTGAGCAGGATGAGCTGGACCTTCCTCCTGTCGGCGCTTAGTGTAGTCGTGCTGAGCGCAGCGTGGATGCGCCACTGGGCGCCGACGCCGTCGGTGGACCCGTCGACGACCGCGTGCTTTTCCAACGACTATTACGAGGCGCGCGCGCTCTTCCGGGCCCGCGCGAGAGCGGCCCACGCCGAGCTCCACGCGCTGCCGCTGCCAGGCGCGAATGAAGGACTTACGATCGACGTGGCTGTCTTGCGGGGCTCGGACCCGACCGCGCTGCTTGTGCACCTCTCTGGCACGCACGGCGTCGAGGGCTTCGCCGGCAGCGCGATCCAGGCCAAGCTGCTGGCCGACGCGTCGTCGCTGACTTCGGGCCCGACCGTCGTCTTTGTTCACGCGGTGAATCCGTTTGGTTTCGCCAAGGTACATAGATAGCATCTGCTTGGAAGGTGTCGTTGACCATGTCCATGGTAGCTCCGGCGCGTGAACGAGGCCAACGTCGACCTGAACCGCAACTACTTGACGCCCGAGGCGTTTGCGGCCAAGCGCGCAAGCGACCCGAACGCCGCTGGCTACACGTCGCTGTCGCCGGCGCTCAACCCGCACCACGCGGCGCACTGGGCCGACGCGTCGTTTCTGCCAGCGTACGCGGTCGCCAGAGAGGGCTTATTGAGCTGACAGTACGTACGTGTAGGCTGCTGAGACACGCGCTGCACAATGGCTCTGAGAGCGTCAAGCGAGCGATCGTGTCGGGCACGTACCACGAGCCGCAGGGCATCTTTTTTGGCGGCTACGAGCTCGAGGCCAGCCACCGCCTCTTGACGGCCTTTTTCCAGTCGCAGTTTTCCAATAGCCACGTGAACCGGATCGCAATGCTGGACGTGCACACGGGCCTCGGGCCGCGCGGGTACGACACGGTGCAAGTGACGTCGCCGAGCATGCCGGTGACGGAGACGGTGCTCCGGACGCTCTTTCCGGACCATGACGCGATCAGCGACTCGAACGCGGACGCGACGGCGCTCTCGGGCTACGACGACGCTGGCGGCTTCGCGGTCGACGGGTACCTCTCTCTTTTTCCGGAGACGCCGGTGCGCCTCGGCGTGACGCAGGAATTCGGCACCAAAAACATGATCGACGTCCTCGTGAGCCTGCGCCAGGAGAACGCGGCGACGCACCATGCGCCCGAGACGCGCCTCGAAGCCGCCAACGCCCTTCGCGACGCCTTTTATGTGCACTGGGACGGCGCGTGGAAGAAGGCCGTCCTGCATCGCGGCGTGACGCTCTTCCACCAACTTCGCACCAAGCTTAGCGATGTCTAGTCTATCAGTGGCGTGGTAACAGACAACATGTACATTGTCTGTAGTAGTATTAAATGTACGCACGGCGGTGGCGGCGGCAAAGGTCGTTGCGGTACGTCCACTTGGTGCAGCCTGGCACGATGCACTCGGCCGAGATGGTAGCGTGGCGAGCGCACAAGGTCCCGCAGGCGTCGACTGTGCAGCCTTCAAAGAGGCACCGGCGAACCGAGCTGCGACGAAGATGCGTTTGCTGCGAGTTCAACGTCGGGCGGCTCTGCGTCGTCGTACGTGGCATCGTCTCGATCTCTTGGCACAAATGGAAGTCCGAATTGAACTTGCGCCCTCATAGGTTTTTCCAGCGTACTAGTAACCTTTACCAACGCTTTTACAAAAAGGCTCAAGAAGCCTCTTCGAGCTAGTAGAGAGAAGGGTACTTTCCATCGAGACATTGCGTAATGGATGCGATGGTCGAATCGCTCGGCTTGCTGTCGAGCCGTCGACTGTAGGGCTGGAAGCCTGCACTCGATCGGTTCAAATACACGACCTACAACTACCCTAGCATGATAGCAGTAGAGCCTGAGCCGTTCGGTTGTCGCAATTATTGAATAACTCGGACGTATTGTAGTTGTAGTGTCCGTACGGCGCAAATGAATGGGCTCACCTGGGGCTCAAGTGTGGCCGCGAATCCCCACATATTAAACATGACTAAATAAGGCTATAAATGGCAAGTGCCATAGTTAAGAAATTTGTTATAGCGCGCGCTGTACGCCTCGCACGCCGACGTGAGGCAGCGCATTGTGCCCTTCAAAGTGTCATCTAGCACCACAGCACGTTTCGGCGAATGCGTTTTCAAACCTGATTTGGCCGATCAAGTGGCCTCGGCGACGCCGCCGCCGGCAAAAACCTCTCATATATCATTATAAATCAAAACAAAGAGGTATTGTGAGACATATTGTCACGATGCCAGGGTGCAGCCACGTGCGCCTGGTGCGCGCTGGGCAGGCGTCGGCGCGGCCGTCGGTGCTCTTCGTCAACGGCTTCAACTCGACGTACACGGCGTCGCGCAAGGTATCGCGGCTCTCGACCTTCGTCACCGAGGAGCTGCACACGACCTTTCTAACCTACGACCACGCCGGTCACGGTCCCGCGCCGGCCACGCCGCTGCGAGACGCCACGCTGACGCAGTGGCGAGAGGACCTGCGCGCCGTCGTTGCGTGCGAGCGCTGTGCGGGTGAGGCGCCGGTCGTCCTTTTGGGCTCGTCCATGGGATTTCTTTTATCACTTCTCGTCGCGTCTCAAGTGCCAGCACGCGTGGCTGGCATCCTCGGTGTCGGCGCCAGCCTCGGCTTGGAGCGATTCTCTCTAGAGTTTGCTGTAGCCCAAGCCAATGGGTCCATAGCAACGGACGAAGATGGCGTTGAATATTACCGCCGACCATCGATGTATGCTGCAGAGGGGTACTACCCCATCTACCGACCACTCGTCGACTCGATTGCCACGCATGCGCTGCCGCCCAAGGTCGCGTGCCCCGTTGCACTCGTCCATGGAACACACGACTCGGACGTTGGCGTCGACGCCGTCGGTGACTGGGCATCGGCGCAAGTTATGCAAGGCGCGCCCGTCTCGCTGACGTGGGTGCCCGGTGGCGATCACCGGCTGAGTGCGCCCGCGCACTTGGACGTCATCGAGCTTCAGCTGCTCACACTCTTTCGTCACGTAGGTTAACACGATAGCTATGTAAAATCGGACAAAACGACGACGAGTTTCTTTTCGAAAGCCTTCTGGAGATCTGGGATACCAAGGATGCGTGGGGACGACGCCGCGGCCAGGAGCCGCTTCATGGTGACGTCTTGCCGGTACGTCACGCTGTTGCCGTTGATGACGGCGATGTGACCGACGTCGTCTTCGACGGGAAAATACAAGCCCCACTCGGTGAGGCCGAGCACATGGAACTAACTCGCCGGACACGAGGCACACGAGGCCGTCGGTGGCGAGGTTCCCCACCTCGCAGCGCTGCGTCGTTGGGAGCTTGACGCGCGTGATCTGACGCGCAACACTTGGCGGCACGGAGAACGTCGAGTCGCGCAAAATCACCTCGAGCGACGACGGTGGCACCGTGGGTTGTACGTGCACGCTGTCGTTTGAGCGGTGCTCTGCCGGCGTCTAGAGGTAGGCGGCGATGCTGCCGGTCTGCGTCGAGCGCCGCCAAACGACCGAAAGGAGCACAACCACGAGTGGCGAGGCCATTGGAAAGACGCCAAAGAGGCGCCAGTAGAGCGTTTCGAAGCTCATCTGCGGCGTGTACGCATGACAGATCGAGTTGGTGTAGTGGTGAACGACGACGCCGGTCCTGCGGTAGCCGGAGATGAGGCGCATGCCCTGGTTGGTCACGTACAGAGGAACGTAGTAGACCCACACGACGGGTGCGCCGAGAAAAAAATGTTTTCGGCTACCGCAAACGCGTAGGCTGATCAGAGAAGAAGTCCGAGAAGCCGCGAGAGACGTAGGAGAAGAAGGGCGCAGGGCCAGATGACGCGCATGATCGACATCAAGTTGAGCAGCTGCGTGCCGTACGATGAGCCGTCGGGCCTTGGAATTTTGGTATATTTCAGGCTTGGTTCCTACAGCTACATTGTCCACTGATACACTCTTTCTTGCTACCAAAAGTCGCTCGTCGGGTATCAGATGCTGCTGCATACAAAAACCTTTCGCCATTTGGAAAGGACATTTCAAGTTAGTATATATCGGGGATGCCGAGACAGGCCGGTCGTGACGTGATCCGCGCCAGTGATTCGATCGACACCGCGGCGTCAAAGGCGACGCGGTTCCCTTGGTCGATGACGGCCACATGTCCGAGCTCGTTGACGATGGGCGACGATACGCCCCACTCGGTGATGCCCATGGCGTGGACCTTGCCGTAGACGAGGCACACAAACCCTTCGGCTGCGAGGTTGAGCGACTCGCAGAGCCGAGAGGGTGGCAGCTTGGCGCGCGTCATCTGCAACGCGATTTCTCGCGGCGTCCTGCGCGTCGATAGCATCAGGATTGTGTGCACGCGCGACTCGGTGGCCGTAATGTCTAGCACGCGTCTGGACAAGCGGTGTTTGAGCGGCGAGAGCACGAAGACAAAGATGCTGCTGCTGTTGGTGACCTTGCGCCACACGGCGTCAATGAAGATGGTTGTAAAGGGTGACAGAATGGTGAAGTAGCCGAAGAGCTGCATGTAGAGCGTGAGACACGAGAGCTGCTTGGCATAGACGTTAGAGATCGAGTTGGTGTAGTGGTGGACGATCGCGCCGGTCCAGCGGTAGCCCTGGAAGAGACTCATGCCCTGGCTCGTGACTTGCACGGGAATGTAGAGCCACACAACCGGTGCGCCGAGAAAGAAGAGGTCCTCGGTCATCGCAAAGGCGTGTTGTCGCCCAAATAAGATCTGAAGGAGCCGCGACGTGAGGAGGAGGAGGCATGCGCACGGCCAGATGATGCGCGTGATCGACATGTACTTGAGCGCGAGGAGGAAGAGCGACGGCCCCGAATAGATGACTTGCTGGCAGTACATGACCACATCCTCCGTGCTCGCGACGGCCTCGGCCGAGAGCAACAGCAGAACGAACAAGTTGTGTCGCTCTCGCTTGTGCAGCACCAAGCCCATGTGCCGCTGCCGCAGCCAGCGAAAGAGCGGCGTGCGCTGCCGCCAGTACACGAGCGCGATCGGGTAGTAGATCGAGGTCACGCGGTAGTAGGTAATCACCGCCAACAGCGTCAGGCGATACGCGTCCTTGTAGCCGAGCCGGATTTGCGTCAAGTCGCCCTCCGAGTAGTGTTTTGTCGTCACGAGCACCTTGCCGTCGGTCGTTGACGTCACGTCGTTGGCGTCGGCCGTCCTCGTCGTCCGCGCGGTCCACGGCGCCGTCGTATCGCCGTACCACGCCGATGTCGTGATGTGCGTCGCCGTGCCGCCCACGTGCAAGTCAATCGCGCACTTGAGGAGCGGCTCAAGGCTCAGCACGGGCGGCAGGTACGTTAACGCGATGCTTGTAAACGCGAATGGGCCAGATGTGTTGGCGACGAGCACCTCTTGGATACCAGACGTCCGATTCAGAATGTAATACCCTCCAAACTCCTTGCACCACTTGGTAGTCTCGGTCTGGCTCACGCGGTGGTTGATCACGCGCCCATTGGCTGTTGTGATCGTGTCGCACGCAAAGCTGTCGCCTTCGCCAAGCATCTCCAGGCACGTTCGATCTAAAGAGCTCGTCTGGACGGACCACTGCGTCGACGCAAAGCGCGCAGGATCAGGAATCTCGATGCGCTCGCCGGACGGAAGCGTGCAATTGCCAAAGAAGTTGCCAATGTGCTGCGTTGGAGCCTTGTCAATAGGGTAGTACGACCGGCAGGTGGCCCCCGAAAGGGACCCGGTACCGTAGACGGGTAACTCAAAGTAGCAGTCAAGGAATGGGCCGTTAAGTGAACAGACGCGCGACGAGACGTTGTTGAAGGTGTTGGTGACCTCGAGCTGCCACACGACGTACTGGTTGTAGCTGTCCATGTAGATGTAGTAGCCGTAGAGTGTCTTGATCGGATCGAGGAGAGAGTTGACGGTGATGCCGAGCCACGCAAGAAATGCGAAAATCGCGAGCGGCTGCAGATGGACGTCATGTACATCCTGTGTTGTCGGTGCCGCCTTGGCGCGGTCCGTAGCTTTGGTCACCTCGACGTGCATGGTTACGTTGAGGCGCCAAACGCGCCGTTTCGCGGTGGTATTTTCAGACTGGTACCCGTTCCAGCCCGCATAGCAATCACTGCTGGCAAGTGAGTGCGAGCATTGAGCAAGTCGGGGGGTTGCGCCAATCACACCAGTGCCAAGTTTAGAGTCCTTTAAGCGGTGATCAAGCGGGGCTGTTCCGACACGGTGTCCGGGGAAAGGCGGCGATGTTGCCAGCCATCGATCGCGGCGTCGACCGACTTTACACCATGCTCAACCAGGTCCGCTTTCTTCTCTGGTCGCTACTGACACTCAACTCGCTCTTGGATCCGCTCAAGACTCTGTATGGCTATTACTCGTCCGCAGATACATCGTTCAATCGCTTCTCGCCAGAGCTCACGATAGCCAACACCTTCAACAATGTCTCGTCGCGCGTCTGTTCGCCCAACGGCCCATTCCTTGACTGCTACTTTGAGCTACCCGTCTACGGTACCGGGTCGCTCTCGGGGGCCACCTGCCGGTCGTACTACCCTATTGACAAGGCTCCAACGCAGCACATTGGCAACTTCTTTGGCAACTGCACGCTTCCGTCCGGCGAGCGCATCGAGATTCCTGATCCTGCGCGATTTGCGTCGACGCAATGGTCCGTCCAGACGAGCTCTTTAGATCGAACGTGCCTGGAGATGCTTGGCGAAGGCGACAGCTTTGCGTGCGACACGATCACAACAGCCAATGGGCGCGTGATCAACTACCGCGTGAGCCAGACCGAGACCACCAAGTGGTGCAAGGAGTTTGGAGGGTATTACATTTTGAATCGGACGTCTGGTATCCAAGAGGTGCTCGTCGCCAACACATCTGGCCCATTCGCGTTTACAAGCATCCCATTGGCGTTCGCGACACCAGCGTTTAGCCTTCACTCGCTCATCGGGTGCTCGGTCACCTTTCGCGTTGGTGGCACCGCAAGTCAAATCACAACGTCGGCGTGGTACGGGGACACGGTGAGTCCGTGGGTAGCCCGCACTACACGCACCGCGAACGGCAACGTCGTCACCAAGCACGGCGCACTCGTCCACGTGTCGACCGACCATTTGACCAACGGCGACCAAAACCTCGTCCGGCTGCTCTACAAGGACATCTTTCGTCTGTGCATTCTGGGAATCGTCATCTTTTACCGGATCTCGTCCATCTACTATCCCATCTGGCTCGCGTTTCGGCGCCAGCACCAACCGTTCGTATCTTGGATCTGGCAGCGCCACTTGGGGCTTGTGCTCCACAAGCGAGAGCGACACAACCTCTGCGTGCTTTTCTTGCTCTCTCTGGAAGCTGTCACGAGCGTGGAAGACATCGTCGTTCACTGCCAGTACACCGTCTACACCAACGGCTCTTCGTATGGGTCGCTCCTCCTGATCTACATGTCGATCATGCGCATCGTCTGGCCCTGCGCGCTGCTGCTGCTCGTCACCTCGCGGCTCCTTGGAGCTCTATTCGGACCCTCCAAGGCCTTTGCGGTCTCGGAAAACATCTTTCTCCTCGGCGCTCCCGTCGTGTGGGTCTACATTCCCATGTACGTGACCAACCAGGGCATGAGTCTCTTCCAGGGCTACCGCTGGACCGGCGTGATCGTCCACCACTACACCAACTCGATCTACAACGTGTACACAAACCAGCTCAACAGTTTGTCACTCTACTGGCGCCTATTTGGTGTCTTCACGCTCGTTTCACCACTCGTGATTTTCACGCTCTCGGCACTATGGCGGTGCACCATGCAAACGGGCAGCATCTCGGCGTACCTCCTCTCGCCTGTGGAGCGGCGCGGGGCCATCCGCATCGATTGCAGCGTGAAAATCAGCCCGGAGCTCGAGACGATTTTGCGCGACTCGACATTCTCCGTGCCGCCGAGCATTGCGCGTCAGATCACGCGCGCCAAGCTCCCGACGACGCAGCGCTGCGAGGCGGGCAACCTCGCCGCCGATGGCCTCGTGTGCCTCGTGTACGGCGAGGTCCACGTGCTCGGTTTCATCGACTGGGGCTTATATTTTCCCATTGAAAACATGTTGGGACACGTCGCCGTCATCCACGGCAGCCACGCAGCGTTTGACCCAAAGGTGTCCGTCGTGTCCTTGGTTGAAATCACAGCGTGCCCGATGGTGCTCGGCATCACTGACCTTGGCTAATTTGACATACTCTCAACTATAGTACTGTGACAGAGAAAAAGCATAAACTTGCGTGAATGCATCCAGATCTGATATGATATGCTATGGATTGAAATCTTTATACAAACTAAAGACTCTACCTACTAAGACTTACGTACTAGATATGTGTTGAACGTCGGCGGCCAAAAGCCCTTCAACGTGCTGAAGTTCATCGGGGCCGGCAATACAGCGTGTCGTCCGTCGTCGGGATGCGCGTACGAGACGAGGTACAGTCGTCTGGCGCGAGCTTGGACAAATTATCCGTGGCTTGGTTGAACTCGCAAGGGTGGTGTTTCCATGTGCACGTAAAATGAATACATCCAGATCTAGCCATGAGAATACCGCCACAATTGAGTGGCAACTTCCATTGACACGCTTTGTGGTTGAAAGCGCATTACTTGCATGTGTACAAGTTGTCGGTTGGACGAAAATGCTGCCACCGAACGTAACCTCGTGCTAATTTTACGTGGCGCCAACCGCCATGGCGGATGAGCTCGAGCGCGAGATCCTCGCGATGGAGACGCGGCTCCTCGAGGTGAAGCTGACGATGGAGGCCGAGAAGGTCAACTGGGAGCGCGCCAACAAGCCAACCAAGAAGACGGGTACGCATTGGAAGCGAGCGGCGAGAACGCCTCCGACGTCGGCGCCGCCGGTTCCTGTGCCCCCGGCCGAGAAGCCGCGGGCTCCGAAGCGTTCGATGACGGCGCTGCTTCGGCGACCAACAAGCGAATGGAATACAACTGACGTCGTCGCGTGGCTCGAGCACCTGCAGTTCTTGGAGCTCGCGCGCCTCGCGGCGGAGAGCGGCATCAATGGCGCACATCTACTAAGTGCGCACTTGGGGTTGAGCGATCTGCATCTCCGCCAGCTCTTTCGCATCGCGCTTGTCGACTCGTCCTGGAGAGCGTTCGTGCGGGAGGTCGCCAGCCTCCATCGCCGTCATGTCGAGATGCAGCAGCAGCTCACACCACCGCCACGTATGACACCCAACGACGTTTCGCTGCCGACGATCGCACCGCCGACGCGCAAGCAGAAGCGCGTGAAGAAGACGCAACCCATGGCTGCCTGCTGGATCTGCGCCAAGGCAGATAAATGCTGGGGTAGATGTGGGCGCTGAAAGCAGCTCATAGATGTGCCCCCGCCCCCCCTCGTACAAGGAAACGGTCTTTTGCTGTTCGGTCGAGTGTCAAGTCCGCGCCCAACACAACCAAATCCAAGTGTCCGGCCACGTCGACAACAAGTACGAGTCCTGCATACGAACAATGGCGAGAGGCTAATTAGAATGTAGCGCCATGGAGACGCCTCGCCCGACGAGAACGCCGCTACCTCGACGCCCCAAACCTTCTGGTAGAAACTTCGCTTGGGAAATAGCACTGATGTACAACGTGTGCAGGGACATCGTCGTTTGTGCCCGCGACGGCAAAGCCGCGAGGCCAAGTGACGGCGCCAACTGACGCGCACCTTGTGCTCACGTCGCATTGCTTACAACCTCCTTCCGCCACGTCACTGCCTCCCCCGAAAGTCCACCGTGCCAGCGCGGTGAAGCCGTCGACGACGACGCGTCCTCGCCACCCGCGGCCGAGCGCCGCCGTGCACTTTGAGGTTCGGCCGTCCAACCAGGCGTCGCAGCAACACACCAAGTACCGTCTCGACCCCGTCATGTTGCAGGCGCCGACGCTCTCGACCCTGTTTCTACCCGTCGGCGGCGATGCGACCAAGCGCCAGCTCTTGCACCACCTGCTGCCGTACCTGCGCATGGGTGGGTGGAGTGCCCTCTTGGTTCTGAACCGGGCGTGGCATGACGCGCTCGCGTCAGATGAGAGTGCGTGGAAGATCATGGCCGCCGCTCGCTGGGCTCCGTCCGGCACGATAGATGCGCAGCTTGTGGCCGAGTATCAGAGCCGCAAGCCCGGCAGCTGGCGCTTGGCGCTCGCGAACCTCACGCGCAAGTGCACGCGCGTCGCCCTCGAGAACGTCCGGGTTCTCAACGACGCCGAGACGTGGACGATGGCGCACGCCAACCGCGCGAACCTCGTCGACGAGCTCGTGCTCTTGGTGTGTGCTGGCACCGGCGCCATCATCGGCGTCGAGACGAGCTCCAAGCTCATCCAGGCGATCGCGCCCGAGGTGTCGACGATGGACATTTTACACCGACTGGAGACGCACGAATATACCCGCCTGAGCGTCCAGCGACTCTGCCTCTTCCACGCCAGCCGCATCCCGCTCTTTGACGAATGGCCGGCCTTAGCGCGGCGTCCGTTTGCGACCTTTGAGACGCCGTCGTGGCGCGAGCTGCCCATGTGTGCCGCTGTGCTACGAGCCACGAGGCGGCGCTACCGACGGTCGCTCACCGAGCTTCTCGACGGGCTCCTCAAGCGCGCGCGCACCCACAAGCGCAAGGACGCCATGGCCGCGATCGAAACCATGTTGAGAGGTTAAATAAATAGGGTTACAACGTTGGTGGCACGTCGGCCTCGTACATCGCCAAGAGCGAACCAAGCGGTGGTGACAGCGTCGTGTAGGCTGCATACCGATACCGCCCGAGGCCGTACTCGCCGAGGTGGCGAGGCAGCGCCAAGATACTGCGCAGTACGGTCGATGTGTCGTCCGACGCCGGAATGTCGTGGAGGAGGAAGAGCCCCATGTACAAGGCAAACATGCTGCACCAGCCTTCGGAAATGAATGCGTCGAGGATGTGCGCGCAGACCGCCGGTGGTAGCGACCGCTCGTTCAGAAACAGCGATAAGATCCAGCTGGTCGCAAACATCGCTGTCGAGATGCCACGTTTCTGCAGCACGCGCGAGAGATGCGGGAGGTACCGGTACATGCAGTACGTGAGCTCGTGCAGCCGGTACTCGAGTCCGTGGCCAAACCGCCGGCTGCCGCTGTCCCAGAAGCTGCCCATGAGCCGGTGTTCCATGAGCAGCGTCCATGTCACAAAGGTTGCGCTCGTGTCGTACCCCAGGCACGTGAGCAGCGACGACGCGATGAGCGTCATCCCGTGGCCATACCCCGTGTGCGGACTAAAGCACGCGTAGGCGCGGAAGATATCCATGAGCTTCGCGTGGAGCTCGCGCAGCAAGGGCGAGCTCGAGAGGTTCGCGGTCGACCCGAGCCGGTAGAGGTAGCCGTGCGGCTTGGTCGTTGGGTACAAGAGCTCTTTCGGGTAGAACGTCGTGCGTGCGACCTCCTTGGCCATCAACTCGTCGTGCGCACTGGGTCGCACAAATGTCCTGTAGTCCAACGCTACACGGGCATCGTTAGACGGGTAGAAAGGCAGAGACGTCAACCTGCCGACGGCGCAAAGTGCCGCCAGTAGCTCCAGCGTGTGGCAGGTGTCATCATTGCGTACGAGAGGATCCCTTCACAGCTTAAAACGAGGTGCCATGCGGTGCACACTGCGTGGCAAGCCACGATATCCCCAGTGCTGAGGTAGGAGAAGACGCCGAGAAAGCACGTAGGCAGCTCGTGGAGCAAGAGACGCTTGACCGATCGAGTCGCGAGACAGGCCTCCGTGTCAGCGCGAATGCATCGCAAGAGCTTTTCAAGTTCCTGTACGAGGCTCACGCTCATGGCTTTCGCCTCTTGGACGTGGAGGTCCACTGCGTCCCAGCAGTCGACGGTCGCCGCCGCCTCGAGACGTGCCTGCAGCGCCTTGTACCGCGACCTACGCCACCCCTCAAGCACCATTCAGTACCCGTGTTACGTACGCAATATCATCAAACGCTGTTTCATACACGGAGCTCGGCGCCGCGTATTTAAGAAGGGATCGATAGTGCAGCGCGAGGCCTACCCGTCGCGCCATCAGGCGGTACTGGCTCTACCCACGGACGACAATACATGAGCGAGTCGCATTGAGGTCTGGGCGTACGCTGGTCGTGAGCGCAAGGCCCGAGCACTGCCGCCGGAAGGACGCGCAGAGCTGCGTGTACACGTGGGCGGTGGCCTCGCGCCGGGTGCCAAGCGGCTCCGTCGGCGCTGCCTTGGAGGCGGCTGCGCGCACCGGCGCGGTGGGCCAGACAGCGCTCAGCGTCGCCATCGCGCTGCCAAGCATCGCAGAGATAATTATCGAATGCCACCAAATTTTGCAGCCACGTCGGTTCAAGATCGTCGTGTCGGCCAATCACAGCCGCAGGTTTGCCGTTGCACCAATGAAACGCCGGGAAAGCCTACATTTCAACCAATCCGATTGCAGTATTGCAATCCCGCCAATAATGCGGCGTCGTGTTTAAGCCAATCACAAAATCGTGCATCGCATCCGTATTTTCAACCAATCCACGAGCAGTATGAAAAGTAGCCAATCAATGCGCCTAAAACCGGACATGGACGTTGGAGCAAATCAGAGGCCAGCGCTATTTCCACCCAACTTGGGACGCGATGGAGCTGCGTCGCTTTGCTTTCTCAGTTGTCTACCTTGGTACTTGTAGGCATCAGTAAGCACGGCTCGTGGTGCTTGCTCGCCTGCGCGTAAACGGAATGGATTCCTTTTTGTCCAATCCAGCGCGCGTTCAAAGAATGCACCCAAAGCTGGTGGACGACCCAGGTCAGCATTTTAGCCAATGGCCTTCTCGCGCGATCTTGGCCGGCGCATCATCGGGCCACACTTTCCTTCTCGACAGGCGATGAACCAAGCCAGCCTCGCGTTCCGCTACACCGAGGCAACCGCTGCGCCAGGAAGCGCCGACGACCTCGTGCTGCGCTGGGCGTCCGACGACCTCGTGCTGCGCTGGGCGTCCGACGACTGCTACAAGGTAGGCGACTTGGTGGCACCGAGTAGCGCCGACGTGGTCGTAGTGCACGCCGCTGCCGCTGCGTCCCGCCGGGTGCGCACCGACCAACGCGTCTTGCGTCGCCCTGTCGCCCAACACCAACTACACGTTTCACGTCGACGCCAAGTTTTCCATGATCTTGGAGCTCTATGGCGACAACCGCTCGGTACGTGCAGGCTGCAATCATGGCTTCTCGCTCATGCGTTGCGCGGGTCTGGCGCAGTTGGTACCACTTTAGCGAGTACAGTTCCTACTCGATGCTCGGGCAGCAAGTCGACTCTGGCGACGTCCACGTGTCCATCGAGCTCGTGCGTGCAGGGGCGACGTCGCTCTTGCTCCCGATTCTCGTGGGTCTTCTCGGCCTCTGGATCGTTAGCGGTCCTGTCCGGTTCTTTTGGGCCAAACACCTCGCCTCTCTGCGGTTTGAAGCATGGTATTGATGAATGCGTCGCGCTCATGTACTATCTATTGTAGTGATGAAGACGACGACGAGAACGACGACAAGCAGCCGCTCCTCGAGCCGGCACGACCCGCCAATAGGCCGCCCCGCGTCGTCTGCCTCGACGTCTTCCGCGGGATTACGATCTTCACCATGATCTTTGTCAACTATGGTGGTGGCGACTACTGGTACTTCAACCACAGCACGTGGAATGGCCTCACCGTCGCCGACCTCTGCTTTCCCTGGTACGTCCCAGAAAATGCAGGAGGATGTACGTACTATGTGTTCTTAGGTTTGCATGGATTATGGGTGCGACCATGGCGATCGGCCTCGTCAAGAAGCTGGGCAACCCCGCGGCCTTTGCTCGCACCGTGACGCTGCGCAGTGCCAAGCTCTTTGCGCTCGGTCTCTTCCTCAACAACGGCTTTGACCTCGCCCATTGGCGCATTCCCGGTACTCCATTTTCAATTTTCAACTTGATACATATTTTGTGTATTTAGGGGTGCTGCAGTCGTTTGGGGTAGCGTACTGGATCGTGGCCATGGTGCTGCTGCTCGCGTCGTCGCTCTCGACCGATCCCCGACGCCAGATGCTCCTGCAGTGGCTGGTCATGCTCCTCATCGTGGCAGTCCAGAGCGTCCTCGTCTTCCTGTTGCCGGTCCGAGGGTGTCCGACGGGGTACCTCGGCGCCGGTGGCATTGGCGACGACGGGCGCTACCCCAACTGCACTGGCGGGGCCCACAAGGCCGTGGACGTCTTCCTCTTTGGCGACAACCACATCTTTCAGAGCCCGACGACCAAGGACGTGTACCACACCGGCGCGTTTGACCCCGAAGGCGCGCTCAACTGGCTCATGGTGGCCTTCACGACCTTCCTCGGGTTCCAAGTCGCGACGGCCTTTCTCGCTGACGCGTCGCTCGTCTACTCGCAACGCGCGCTGCGTCTCGTGCTCCTGAGCCTTTGTCTCGGCCTCGGAGCGCTCGTGCTCTCCCAAGGCCAACTCAACGACGGCTGGGTGCCACTCAACAAGAACCTCTGGAGCCTCTCCTTCGTGCTCGGGACGTCGAGCCTCGCAAGTCTCCTTCTGCTCTACCTCTTTCTTGCTGTCGACACGTTCAAGCTATGGACGGGCGCCCCGTTCCTCCAAGCAGGCATGAACCCCATCGTTCTCTACCTCGGTGTACGACGCTGCCTTCTTGACATTTTTGATTTTCATGGGATTTTCGACTAGCACGAGTTGCTCCAAGATCACTTTCCCTTTGGCTTCAAGCACGATGTCGAGCCAACGCACACGCTCTCGATGCTCTCGGCGCTCCTCGGTGCTCTCAGGTGCGACCTCTACAACGGCATTTCTAAAGCAGAGCGCTGCGTAGCTGGATCGGCGTTGCGCTGCTCCTCCATCGCCGCCAGGTCTTTCTCACCGTCTAGTTAGTACCGGTAGTACTTGTTGAATTACGACACGATGTAACACTGCGCCGAGAGCTGGCGGCACGCGACCTTGTGGCCCCCGTCCTTCCAGTCGCGCACCTGGCACGCCTTGGAGCAGTACGCCACGCACTTGCAGCGCGCGCACGCAAGCGCGCCAGTGCCAGGCGCCGCGCACGCCGCGCAGTGCGAGAGCTCGGCGGCCGCCACGTCCGACGTCAGCACGAGCCCGCGCCACTCGACCACGTCTTCGTCGTTGGCGCCAAAGTTGAGGCGAAAGTACGGGTACAGGCGCGTGAGCAAAGCAAGCACTTGGGGCTCGCGGTCGCAGAGCTTGTAGAGCACGGACCGGTACGTAAAGATGAGCATCGCCGCCGAGACGGGGTTGTATCTCGCGAGCACTTGGTCGCACCAGCGCGCGATGCGCATGGTCATGGCCTTGACCGTGGCCATCGGCAGGGGCGGCGCCATATGCTCCGTAGATGGTGGCAGCGACATCTCGACAAGGATGCGCCAGAGGTAGATGGCGGCCCAGTGGTTCGGCGCCGCGATCGCCTCGAGCATCGAGAGCACGTGTCGGACACGGTCTGGCGTCGCGGTGGCCGGGTCGATATCAAAGGCCAGCACTTGGTTCTCGATCGCCTCTTCGACCGCGACGACGTCGCCGAGCGCCGCCTCGGGCGTCACAACGGCGCAGCTCGCGCATGCCCACTGCGGAACGACCGGGTTGTAGAGAAGCGTCGGCGCGGCGCAGGCGGGACACGGCAGCGGGCGCATGTCGTCGGGCGCGCTGCAGCGATCGCAGCCGCACGTAAAGTAGTAGGCTTGCTGCAGAAAGGCCTGGCGCACGTGGCTCGGGTACCCGAGCTTCTCGCGCGCAATGTACGAGTACAAGATGAGGCTGCCGGCAGCGATCGGCTTGATGGCCGTGTAGGTCATGCCTTGCGCGCCCACGGGCCGGTACACGACGTTGGGGCTGCACGAGTGCGCGGCTTTGGACGCGATGGGAAAGAGGCCTGCGATCTCGCCGTTGAGGCCGTGGCCGTTGACCTCGAACGCCGAGACAAGCTGGCACACGAGCGTGCGGTCGGCCTTCTTGAGCGCGTCGCAGTACGTCTTGATGGTGCTAAAGAGCGGGTCCGAGTCGATGGCCTCGGACGAGAGCGTCATGAACTGCGAGAGAATTGCCGCGAGCGCCGAGGCGTCGTGGGCGCGCAGCAGCTTGACGTAGTCGAGGAGCGACGAGCCGGGCCGCACGAGCGCCGCCTCCTCGGCCCAGACGAGGTCGCCGACAGCGATGGCCTTGGTCGCGACGAGCGAGACGCCAAAGACCGGGTGCTCGACGCAGCGGACGCGCGCCTCGGCAGGCAGCGTCGCGTTGAGCGTATCCAGGTTCATCTTGCAGAATGCGCTATGACCACCGGCTCTAATTAGGCTTTCGCCAGCGCTGTCCTAGGCATTCCCGCCAAATCAGGCGCGAACTTCAACCAGCCCACGAACCGTCCTGCGCACCAACCCGGAAAACGTGCACATGATCTGTCTATCAAGCTATCGACAATGTTCTACACACCAAGTGCAAAAAAGCGTTGCTCGCCAACGATAGGCTGCAATGAACAATGTTCGGTCGACGAGAGAAAACCTATTTTCAATCACGGCGTAATTTAACGGCAAAACAACCAATAACATCTTGTATTTATATAAAATCGGTAACGATAACTGGGACTGTGTGGCGCAATGGATAGCGCATCTGACTTCTAATCAGGGGGTTGTGGGTTCGAGTCCCATCACGGTCGATTTTTTCATTTTGCACCTTTTTTTCATTCTTTTCGCTCTCGTTTGGGCCGCAGGGAGCGAACTACATGTATCTTTAACACAGCGCGCGATGCTGCTCGCTGCGCTTGTCGTTGTTGACCTTAAGGTCGAGCCGGAACGACTTGACACTAACGCATAGGTGGTGGGTGACATGCGCAGCGGAGGTTGACGAGCCGATATCGTGGCTGTTGCTCGACTTCAACGAACGTCACGAGGTTGCTGAGCACAAACCGTACTCATGACCAAAGCGATGTTCTCTCTGCTGATGCAGTTTGCCGCAAAAGCACTTGGTGCCCTGCGATGCTGATGTTGTAACGACATCGCGCCTGAGAGAACACGGCAAGGATACTGGTCGTACCCTTTAAGGTCACTGTGGTATGCTTCACAATCAGACGCGTTTGTTTGATTGGATCCGTTTAATCCTGTACGCATGTCATTTGGTTGCCACTGCAACTGCCGTGGCCATGTACTCTGGTCGTTTCAGCGGCGATTGGACTATACATTTACGCCTTGGAACGTGGCGACGCCTCGAGAACGCAGTAAAGCATGGGAGTGGCTCTGGGAGTAGCTAACCCAGAAGCCCGGCGCATTTGCCATGCAGAGAGAGTGTGTTCTTCGCATCCCACCGACGTACCGAACCGTGGGCGTCACGTGAAGAGAGGGCGTCCTGCCCCCCGACGAACGTGAATCGAATGCTTTTTCATTCACCCTTGCGACCCACTCCCCACAACGTGCGAGACGTTATATCATCATCAATGGAGATCAATTGAGGGCAAGACGTCAACTGCCAACGCTCGTCGCTTCTTCCGGCTTGGCGGCGCAAACTGTTCCATCTTGGTCGCCACCCGGCGTCCTCGTACCCACTATAATCAGAACATTGAGGGGCGCCGAAATCATTAGTGCTATCTTCTGCCACCAACAGCAGCGTGCACGGCAGTTGGAATGGGCGAAGAAAGGGTTGTTTGGAAATAACAACGCCAAACCGAACCTCCAAGGTCAAATGTAAGCACACCTACTTGAGGTCGCCAGCTGATCGTCTTCGGTGGTGCTGTGTCAAGCCACGACAAATTGACAGCCATGTCGCAGATGGTGTCTCGTGTGTACATACGGAGCCAGCGCAATTGGCAACATCGCACGACAGAAGCACCAGTTTCGAATCAGCATGGACGACTTTCGCCTGCTCTCGGCCGCCGACCTGGCGCTCCATCGCTCGACGACGCAAGCGATCGCTGCGCGCGCGACGACCACGGCACAGAACCAGCGCCGCCACCCAACGTACCTCAAGAGCCAGGGCTACAAGCTCGCGATGACCAAGCACGGCTTCCAGGCCTTCCAACGCTCCTGCCCGAATTCGTCCTTTATGGAGTTCGTCATCCTTGGCCACTGCGATGCGTCGCTCGATGAGATGGCCGAGGGACTCTACGCGTCGACGACGCAGGCCCATCGCACGGTGCAGGCCTTGCTGTACAAGCACAGCTTCCTCGACGGCGCGGTCCTCCAGGTCGCCGACACCAAGACACTGGACGACCCGTTTTGTTGGTTTGGTATCAAGTACGCGCGGGTGCAGCTTCACGCCATGTTCCAGCCGCGCGACACCGTCTACGCCGAGGTACTGCTCCGACACCACATCGCACAACACTCATTTGTACCTAGCTGTCGGGCACGACAGTCGAGGACGGTGTGCGAACGCTGTACCAAGTCCGTCACTCGATCGAGGCAGATGCCTTTCCACCACTGCACAACGTCGTTCGGTTCTCGTACGAGATGGGGTGGGTCTTCTCGGAGCTCCCGAACGGCCGCGTCCAGTTTAGCATCGTCGGCCACCTCAATCCCCAAGGCAAGATCCCGCCGTGGTTCTTCAACAAGCGGACAGCGCAAAAGCACGCGCTGAACGCCGCGACGTTTTCCGACATTGCTCGCCTCCGTCGGCTCGTGGAGGCTCCTCCGGCGCCGCAGCACCGGCCCCGCGACCCAACGTAGGCTCTCGCCAGCCAGGGAACCATGCTAACGGCGCAAGTACGCTGTAGGTCGTCCCAGCCGTGCCACGTGTGCTTGACTCAGTGCAAGCGGTGGCAAAGCTGCCGCTTCTGTGGTCACGTACGACCCTTCTTCGACTGCATTGGCCCCGGTTGAGGCAGCGGTGTATCTTAGGTGGCGTGTAAAAAGTGCACCGTGGTCGTCCCGCAGCCAGTTGCGATCGCGCGTCCAGTGACGTCCGAAACAAGCCACCCGATTGAGAAGGCGGCGTACTGCAAAGCGTGCTTTACAGCATCGCGACTACCGTCGCAGACAAACATCAGCTGGAAGGGCTCCGACGATGACATGCGGCGCACGAGTACGTAGTCTACGTGCACGCAACCCAGAAAACTCATGGCAGTGTATAGGCTCGAGCACGCAAGAGTCGATGGACGTGGCGCTGACCCTGACGAATACGACGCGAACGGCTTCGTGTTGAACTCGACGCCCTCGGACATCTCGCTGCTCCTCGAGAGCTATCGCGGCTTGCGTATGTCTTTCATTCTATATCAGCAAGCGGTTGACGACTGCCTCCTAGACGGCGATACGGCAGTGACCAACCAAGTGTTTCAAGAAGCTCTGGCCCACGTCTCGGCAAGTAACCCGCTTGAACCGACGAACGCGACGGGCGTTGATCCTTCGTTCATGGCGTCCCTCGAGTACCAGCGACGGCTCGTGGCGGAGATTCAGCGATCGTTGGCAGCCCAGCAAAGCCAAGCCAGCGCCTAGGACTTGAACTTGAAACTCATAGTAAACGTCTAATTCTTCTGACCAGGCTCTTCTCCGACAGCATTTAGGTGTGGTGGCAACCTGGGTGCTAATATCCCGCAACGAGTGGCCAGCATGGGCAGCATGAGTGCTGTTGAAATGAGTTCTTACATGCAACTATAAAGATATGGTGGACTTCCTAATGCGCTCGTGAAGCGTGGCCGAATGCAGCATAGAGGGTGGTCGCCCTTTGCTCCTACAGTGCACAAGTCGATAATCATCGCAATGCCAAATCTCACCCGGCGAACTTCTGTTGCAACATCTGTTGTTCAACATGTATGAGTGTTGGACGCCGTGCGCAAGTGTCGGGTGATATCTCTCAGATTTACGCGCGCGTCCCACGAATGCCAGAGTCACGGTCTAGCTCTGCACGGTTAGCCACACGATAATATCACGTTGCATCAAGGTATTCGAACGGTGTTATACTAGTGCTGTGCGGAAGTAACAACCTCTTCAAGTACCTCATAGAACGCAGGATGCAGCTGGCTACGATTCTCTTATTACTACATGTACTCTGCATGGCGACCACTAGCACGAAGACTGCTTGCTGGGACGCGCGCTGGATGCCACCGTCGCCGCCGGTTCCCACCGATCAGCCATCGAGCGGGAGGCAACGTAGATCGAATCTGCAACGCAACCAACCAGTGGCTGCTCGGTGCGATGGAGAACGACCGACCACCGCTTCGTATGGACTGCTGGCTTCTTTGGCGCCACCGAATACTTGCTGCAGAGCGCCATGTACCGTAGTTCAAGGTTGGGTGGGTTTGAGGTGGCGGCGCTCGACAGCCTCAGTTTTTATCTTTGCCCGAAACGCGCCGATGTCGATCGACCTGAACGCCACCGAGCGCACGCGCCTCCTGGAGCGAGCGACCACCGGCCTTGCAGACCTCGTGGCGTGGGCGGACGGCCTCCCGCCCAACAGCCACGTGCCACGGTCGCCGACGTGGGCCTCCGAGGTCTGCCGGCAGCAGCTCGTGTTCGAGCGCTGCCACAGCCTTGACGACGTGGTCGATCTGTACAAGGCGCCGTCGTCGTACCTCGGCGTCGACAACGCGCGCATCCTCTATGAAGCTACGACCGTAAACGCCAAGGTCGCGCTCAAGTGGGGCGTCTTCCGGTCGCCGATTCCGTTTGTGCGCGACCGCGACGCGTGCTACCTCGAGAGCTCGCAGCTCTTTGTTGACCGCCGTGGCCGCCGGGGCTTTGCCCGCTTCATCACGTCGTACCCGTTGCGCGCCATGGACTACCGGTCCGGCTACATTCGCGCCGACGTGCGCAACTGGGGTCTCGTGCTCCTCGAGTCTTCCGACCCCAAGGTCGTGGACGCCAGCGCGATCGTCGACGTGGACTGGAAGGGCCAGATGCCTGCGTGGGGCGCGTCCCACATGACGTCGCGCCGCGCCCAGAGCATCAAGCAGCTCCCCGCACTGCTTCGCAAGCGGCTCAAGGACCGATGCGGCCTCTGCCACGTAAAGCCCACGATCTTTGAGCTCGGACCGCGGCTGGTGCCGTGCCAAGTGTGCCGCAAGCCTCTCTGCACCCGCTGCCGCACCGCGGACGTTGCACCGGTGTGCGTCATCTGCCGACACCCGCGCGCGCCCCGCCCACCAACGCGGCCGTCTCGCGTTGCGTCTGACTTGGCGTCGACCGTGGGGTCTGCAGGCGACGCGCGGTCGCCACAAACATGTCGTCATGCCAACCGAGGGCAAGCCGGCGCCGAGAGCGGCTGGTTCACGCCCCAAGACCACCGTCGTCCCCGCGGCACGGGCCTGGACCTATCGTATGTCTCAGCCTACAAGGTGTCGACAGTACAGGAGTAGTCATCGACGTGCGCCATCGTATTTATCGCAGTAACCTTTGCAACACGAACGTCGGGTTATGGTTACCGGTATGGCTGCTGCGCTCGCAGAGGCGACCTGTTCTGACGTCGTAGCGATACCACGGTGCCCTCGAGATGCGATGCGGGTGGCCGTGGGTGGCGCAGTTGTGGCATTATTTCTTTCGCGCCACACCAGGTATTCGGTTTCGTCCGTGACGTGGCGGTCCCACGGGCAAGGGCGCATTTTTTTGCGACGATGACTCGACGCTCCAAGCCAGACAGATACCGCACGGTGCGAAGTCACGTGGGTGGTGCCGCGGCCATCGCCAAGTACCGGTACCTTGCGGCGCGCGTGTGAGGTACGTGCAAATGTAGCTGCCCGATATACGACTCGCGAACGGTACCGAAGGTCAGCGCTCGTGCTGGCGCCACGCTTGCCGCGGCTTCTCCCCAGCACGCTTGGGATCTATTCTGGAGTCCCACGGTCCACCCTCCCGCCCGCGGCGAGCGCAGCGCCGGCTTCAGCGCTCGTAGCGCTACGGCCCTCATGGGTCCACGACCTGACGCGCGGGCGTCCCACGGCAGCTCCCACGGCAGTCGCCGGCGCCATACAGCATACTACAGTACGTGCGGCCTATCACGTTCAATATTACACGCCGTCTGCGACAGATATGGAACGGAGCCGCCTCGTTGCCATTTTGGATTTCACCAAGACGATGGCAGCTATCGTTGACAAGAGCGCGATTCTTGCGACCGCGGGCCAAGGCATCAACGAACTCATTGCGTGGGCCACCGCGGGCGGCAAGCCGCCCGTCACCCACACGTACGAGGCCTGCCGCTGCCAACTGCGGCTCCCGACGCCACTCGACGACGTCGGCCGCCTCCTCGCGTCACCCAGCGATGCGGCCGCCGCGGCGTCGTACGTGCACGTTGACAAGTCGACGCTCCTGCAGACGATCGAGAGCAACCATTTGCAGGTCGAGCTGCGCTACGGCATCTTCAAGGCGCCGGTGCCCTTCATGCGCGACCGCGACGCTACCTACATCGAGTGCTTCAAGCATTTCACGGACGGCCATGGCCGGCGCGGCGTCGCGCGCTACCTCACGTCGCACGAGCTCCCGACAACGACACCCAACGCGAGCTACGTTCGCGTCGATATCCGGACGTGGGGCATTGTCGTCGTCGAGTCCAGCGACCCGCTCGTGCTCCATGCGAGCTCGGTGGTTGACGTCGACTGGAAGAGCGTGTCGGCGTACATTGGGTCGCACATGACGACGCGCCGCGCGCAGAGCGTCAAGCACCTCGACACGGTGGTTCGCGCGTCGCTCAAGAAGCTATTTGAGCGCTGCTCCATGTGCCTCACCAAGCCGTCAAGCTTTGAGCGCGCCAACAACTTTGCCGCGTGCGTCGGGTGCGCCAAGCCGCTCTGCGTCGGCTGCAAAGACATTGGCAGCCGCGCGTCCGGGTGGCCATCTGCCTCGCGTGCGCGGGCGCAAAGGCGCGCGCCAAGGTGCCCACCCGGGAGACGCTTCTCGAGTCGGAGGCGTCGACCGTCGAGTCCGACACCAAGTCCCCGACTGTGCACCGGACGCCCCGGCGCATGTCGTGCGAGAGCGGCTGGCTCACGCCGCAGTACCATCGACCCCGCCGGCCGACCGAGGCGCCATTGGACCTAACGTATCTCGCGTCCTTTCAGGGCAACACCGCATAGATTGGATATGCGTTGTAGCCTAGCCTAGTCGTATTTAAGGTGTAGTAATCCCACCACCCAGCGCTGAACAAACCAAGTGGCTCGCACCCAAAAACGTCAATTGACATTTGCCGCAGACGACGTAACGATGCCACGTCGACGCAAAGGACCGGTAAGAAGAGGCACTGCCACCACGCCGCAGAGCTACACACAGAGTCCCGCCGCATGGTCCGTCCGAGTGTCCTGCTGCGTGTCCGGCGGCGTCTTCGGCCTGGAAGGCTGTCATCCTCAGTATACAAAAACAAGTGATTTGATCGACGCGATGCCATTGGCTGCTTAAAAATCGGCGCAAGGCCATTGGGCGCAGCCGCAGAAAGGTCGAAGGACGGGCGGCGATAGATACGATGGCGATGCTCTTCCTCTCGGGGCTGGCCATGGCCTCCTACTTCCTCGCGCTCTGCTACATGCTCATGACGTTCATCAGCGTCTCCAAGCTCTACGCGACGCGGCACAAGAATGCGTCCATGTCCCGCACGACGCAGCTCCTCCTCATGACCATCTCGCTCGGCTGTCTCTTCCGCACGGCGACGTTCACCACGCTGTGCTTCCTCGACTTTCAGCACACGGATGCGTCCTTGTCGCCGTTGAGCGCGCGCTTCCAGGTCCCGGACGACACGCCGCACGCAGAAGAGTCGGACCTCTCCTTCTACAACAAGGTTCATGGCGTTGCCAATAGGACGTCTTCCAATGTGCGGTAGGTTGTCGCCGTCCTCTTCAACCTGCCCGACTACCTCTTCGTGTCGGCGTACCTCCTCGTCGTGTTGCTCTGGGCCGAGACTTTCCAGTCGTCGCGCCGCCACTGGTTCTCGGCCGATCAGTTCCACCGCAAGTGGATGGTCTTCTACCTCATCTTCAACGGCGGTCTGTACCTCACGCAGGTCGTGCTCTACGGGCTTCTCTTCCTCAAGGAAGACGGCGCCATCGCTGGCATCTTTGACAACGACGCTGGCACGCGCCTCGCCTTGATCCCGTCGCTTATCTTTTGTACGTTTCTGGCTTAAATTGTGCACTGAGGATGGGCGTAGACACGGTCGCCGCCGCCGACTTGGCGCTGCCTGCCATCATCCTCGGCACGTGGATGTACCTCTCCGTGACGCTCTCGGGCTTTCCGTACAAGTCGGTGCACGCCAAGGCCAAGCTCTCCAAGGTCGGGCGCGTCGCGCTCGTGTGGAGCCTCGGGCGCATTCTGTACAGCGTCATGATTCTGCTGACGTTCACCAAGGTACCGTGTACTATGCTCCACATAGAGTCACAACAGGCTCGTGCAGGGCTGGTTCAACACGGAGAAGGATACGGTCTCGATGCAGTCGATGCTCCTCGTTGCCCTCTTTGTCCTTGCAGAGATCACGCCGATTTACTCACTCCTCGACTCGGATCTGCTCATGATGCTCTCGACCGACGACTACCTCCCGCTCGGCGACAAGTAATCGCGTGGCTAAGGCACTACTGTTGTGTTCCGATTCCATATTGCGGGCTGGGCAGCGCTGTCTTCACTTGCACTGCAGTACCACTCCAATATCCTAGCCGAACTGGTAGATTTCTCACCAAGGCAGTATTTACTCCCCAGCAGCCAGCCCTCCATCGGCAACCAGTCGCTGCGTTCAAAATGACCACCCTGTATTTACGGGCACGTGATGTTAGCAACCCTATTCTTGGACGAGGTCCGGTGGGTTCCAACGGCAGATGCGAAAGTGCTTCCCTTCAGCGCATACGCATGGCCAGTTACAAGCACGATGTGTCCGTGGCCGTTGCGTGGGGATTCTCGGCGCGCGTCGCTCTCTTCGTCATCGTCTACTTGCAGCTCGTCGTTGGGCTCATCTACTTCGCTCTCCTCGGTCTCATCCTCTTTAGCTTTACGGACATCCAAACGCGCATCACGCAAACCACGGCTCCGCGCGCTTACGGCGCCATCTTCTTCGCCATTGCGGCACTCTACCTTTTCTCGATGGTGCCTTGTCGCTTGACCACGCGCAAGGACAGCGTGCAGCCGTTACCGACACCCTCTCGCTTTCACATGCCGCTGCGGCTCCTGCTGGGCCTCGGCCACTCGGGATCGCTGGTGTGCGAGGCCTTCTTCGCCTTCGTCATGGCCAAGACGCTCACAGACTACCGCGTCGCGTGGGCATACAGCTTCTGCCTCGTGCTGCACGGCATCACGATCGCGTCCTTGCTGTCGCGTGAGGGCATGTCTCGCCCACAGCTCGTCGTCGTCGGCCTCGTTGACTCACTCTTTGCGTGCGGGCTTTCCGTCGGCTTCCCGCTCTGTCAAGTCGTGCTCCCGCTGGTGCACTTCCTCCTCTTCACCAACCAGAGCCAAGGCCACGACTTCAACTGGTACGCCAACTACTTGACGTCTGTGCGCCTACTCTTTGCGACGTCGCCGCTCAAGGCCATCACGGCCATCTGTCCCAGCATCGTCGTCTGCAGTACACTGCGCGGCGCTCTGGACGTCGCCCGCCCCGGCAGTATGATTCACATGCAGCCCATCACGGACCAGAAGCCTCGTCCGACACGCATCCTCCGGCGTCTCCTGCTGTTCAACGGCCTTGTCTGCGTCGGTGTCTCGGCGGCGACGTTGCACGCGGTGCTGCGGGCAAGCCCATGTCCGAGCCACTGCCGGTACGAGACAAAGCCGTGGTTTGCGTCGGCCTGCACCTGCAACTACGCCCGAGTCAACTGCCATGAAGAACCAACGACCGCCGACGTCGCCTCGTACTTTACGCCGGCGCTGCTGGGGAAAGAGCTTATGATATTGCACACGGTGCACTGCTCGCTGGCGACGGGATTGCCGGCGCACACGCTGTCGTCCTTCCCCCAGCTCTACTCGTACAGCATCGAGTTCTCCGACATGGTGACATTCCAGTCACCGCGTATCCACCGTCACTCACCATCGTTTACATTCGGTACAGCCGCCTCACACGTGTGCCGTTGGCGTTGCAGCGGCCGCCACCGAACGTTATTGCCATCCATCTACTTGGCGCGCCGATCACGATTTCACCAGACGTCTGGGCCGCCTGGCAGCACGTGAATGCGCTCTGGCTCTCCAACACGACCCTCGACGCCATCCCGGACGTCGTGGCTACCTATGCCAGTTTGCAGAGGCTCGTTTGAGCGGCAACAACATCTCGACGGTCCCTCAATTCCTTGCCAAACTCCCGCTGCTGGACCGCGTCTACCTCGACGGCAACCCGATCTCCGAGTTTCCGATCGATTTCCTCGAAGCACACCCAAAAGCGCTCATCTCACTGGACCACACGCTCATCACGACGGTGCCGCCGTCGCCGATTGCCATGAAGGCCATTGAGAGCGGCACGATGAACCTCCGAGGCACCCCGTGGTGCGACGGGAATATCGGACACTCGTACTGTGGTGCGACCTGTGACGCGACGTGCGCACTTGTGCACTGGGGAAACTACTTTTGCGATCTGTCGTGCAACTCGAAGGCATGTCGCGGCGACGATGGAGACTGTGCGTATCGTTAGTATGCTTGACAAAAATGGACTTTCGCGCCAGGAAAGTGATGAAATTAACTGTCTAAAGTGCTTTTTATGAATGGAAATGTAGTGACGTTTTTCAAACTACCTAGCGAATAGAAAGCCACGCTGCCGAGTACGAGCACTCTGACGAGAGCGAAATCCATCAATTCACATGACGGTTTGGACGGGCTCCTTGTATCTCGCGTGTCATTGGTGCGGATAAAATGAAGTGCACCAATCAAAGCGCTTCGCCGTGTTCAACATCAAGCACGGGCCGTTGGATCGCCACCGCACTTGCTCCGTGGTATTCCCGAGTACTTCATCGACGAAGAATGCTTTGCAGAAGCTGACACGTGTGCAAAATTCCCCTGCAAGTACCGATAAGTTCTGGTTTTTTCTACCTTTTTGCGGTCGTCCCTACGATTGGGAATGTAGGTCAACGCAGGCTCGCCAGCCTAATTTCCGCCTCTGAGCGCAAGCCATGAATGACCCGGTTGCTCTCTTCGCCTCTCGTAGAGTCTGTATTCCGTGATGGTGTTGAGGTGGCGTGAATGAGCCAATGTCAATCGAGGGGCGGCCCCTGCCAGCGCCGATCTTGTTGGATGCCTCCGTACGCCGTGCCCATTGGCTTAAATCACGGGCCTTTGGCCAATCGTCGCCGCGTGATGGTGACAAGGCATCTAATTGACAAAAACAGGTATCCTACCATCACTCTTGCATCCGAGTGTTGGTATCATGCCCATACCAATTCCAAGCTTAATTAGATTCCTGGCTTGCGATTGGTGGAAATGAACTTCGAACTGCCAAGAAGAGGGTCGACCGACACTCGTTGGTCCGGAACCCCATGAGCAAGGTACGGTCGGTGGCTTCGCCCTCACGGCTGCTGACGCCGTCTACCCAGGTAGCCGCCAAGCGCCGGCGCCAGGATCCGCCCGAGGTCAACAAGTTCCTCGACCTCATGCGCCACGGCCAAACGATGCGCTCGACAGCGGCGGCGCTCCTTGGCCAAGAAAGCCACCGAGCCATCTACCTCAACCAAGCGCTGGACGCCTTCCAGCAAGCGCTCGTCTTCTCGGCGTACGTCCCCGCGCTGCAGACGCAGATGTGCCTGGAGCACATCCGCGAGACGCAGGTGGACCTCCTCATCGTTTCCAAGCTCCTGAATCGCCAGCAGCTTCACGTGCGCACATCGATGCCCAACGAGCAGCCGTCGCGCCGCGCCGTCAAGGTGCTCGTACCCGCGCTGCCCAAGTCTTTGTTTGGCGACGACGGCAAGCTCGCGCTGGCTAAGATTTCGCCTCGCTTCCCAAAGGCGGCGCCGCTGCTGCTGCTCCCGACGCCGCAAGAACGCCCCGCGAAGAAGGCCAAGCTCGAGACGCCGCCAACGCTCTTAGCGATCGCAGAAACCCTCTTGGCCCTCGCAGGCCCTACGCTGCGCCGTAATCTATAATAACTATGACATTACTATACTTTGATGCGTGTCAGTTTCGAAATGACCGACGTGGACGTGTGGAAGCAACGCTGCCTCGCTGCGTGCGACGACCTCGAGGTAGACGGAGTACGGGTGCACAGCTCGCTAGGAGTATCGTGTCGCAGGAGGAATACCAACAAGCGCTTCATGAGGTCCAGTACCGCGCTGCCAAGACCAAGGTGCTAAAAGTGCCTGGTCTTGTCAATCAGTGCTTATAGGCGGAGACGCCGCTCGTACCCTCCAAGGAGCTTCGTAAGCTACTACAGAAAGAGTCCGACTATGTCGCCCGCAGCAAATATCCTTTTCTCTGCCGACAGGATCAGTGTGTTCAACATGTCAATCGCTCCGATACATTCAGCTACGATGCTCGAGTGGAGCCACGTCGCAGATCGCATTGACGCCGTTGTCTTGGACGACGAAAAGCAGCATCGGAGCGCCCAAGCCCAAGAGACCATGAGCCAGCTGCAAGCTCTCTGCAGCACGTTCCAGTGCAAGCTCGACCGCGTCGCAGATGACCTCTATACAGAGTACCGCCGGAATTGCCAGTGTGTTTGGTGCGTCCGACTGGATGGCGCTGGAAACCTCACTTGGCAGTAGCAGGCAGTCACCGTATCAAGGCATCCAAGCTCTGGAGCTGTATACACGCGACCAAGCCGTGCTTCAGCGTCGAATCATTCTCCTATCGACATGCGGCTCACTATGGATGCAGTAGACTGTCCCGTCGCTGCGAGAGAGCAAGGATGGGGCGACCATGAGCGCTTCCACGTCAACCACGCACTAGAGAGCGCGAAGAAGCGTATTCAAGCCGAGCACGCGACGTACGAAGAGCGCCTGCGCGCGCAAGTGGACATAGAGATGCACAAGCCTCTCGACGAGCCTCGTTTGTGGGAGACCCGCCGCGATATGCTCGTCTCTCGGCAGCGCGTCGCGCTCGAGGTTCGCGCCGCTGGTGCTCGAGCTGCGTGAGAGAAGTGTTGATACTGTAGGTAGCCCATCGCCAGCAAAAGGTGACGCTGCGTAACTTGACCCGACAACACCTGCGCCACCTTGTCGAGATTGACTGCCACGATATGGTCTGCCAATACACGGCGCTGGTCACCGACCAGCACGAGGCGGGCATGCGAGCACTGCGGCAGTGGGTGAAAGCTCTCCTGTACGTCCAGAAATGGTGATGTTTACTAGTACAGAAGATAGTAAAGCTACTGGTGTAGAGACGACGTTCAAGCGCAGACCGCGGATGCTGTGGTACAAGCAGAGAGTCGCTGCGACGCCGACACGAGCCGTTTATGAATGGCACGTGGATCGGGCGTGCGCGACTGTGATTGGGTGGTGCGGGTTGTTTATTCGCTTGGTCAGTACATTTATGCCGAATACAGTGATTAAATGTGCCATTTTTAATGCAGATTAGAACTAGATAAGCTATTCACATGGTGGCAGCGCGACGGTTGAGGATTTCCGATGGTGCTTCGGCCCGCCAAGCTCCCGCCCAACAAGAAGACGATCGAGGAGGTCGTCTTGACGCGCAAGACCTTTACGCCCCGTAAGCACCTCGTAGCCCGACCTCATACTACCGCGCGCACTTGTAGATGCCCATCCAGCGACAGCGCAGGCCGCCAGCAACCGCCCGACGCGGGCGCGCCGGCGACCTGTCGCGACGGCGCCGACGCTGATTCCACCCCCGGGCATGCTGGACGCGCCGTACTCGGCCTTTGGAGACGTGACCGTTCAAGCGCTCTCACACCAGCTAGCTACGCTGACTGAACGCATGGAGACGCTCGAGGCGGCGCACGACCACCACCACGTGCTGGAGCAGGATCCGTTCGAGGCCGAGCTCGCGGCCGTGACGCAGATGCGGCCGCTGTCGCACCCCGAGACGGACCCCAAGATGGCCGCCAAGGTCACGCACGCCGTCAAGGAGATGCACGCGACCGTGCACCGGCTCGACCGCGTCTTCTTCGACATCACGTCCACCGAGAACAAGCGCAGCCACGCGGCGACAGTCATGGTCGCGGCCGTTCGCGGGTACCTCGTGCGGAAGCGCCACCGCAGCGCGATGCGATTCCTCGGCCGATGGCGCCACAAGTGCGCGCGCGCCTTTGTCGACAGCCTCGCGCGCTTCTCGCTCCGCGTGTACCGCGCGGATGCGGCCGTGGACGCGATGCGGGAGCGCGCGCGCCTCCGGACGCTCGGCGTCTTCCTCGAGCAGCTCCACGACGTCGTGGTGCTCACGCGACCGGTCCGCCGCCAGCGCCACCAGCAGGTACGCTCCGCACATCCTCGCGCCTCGTATAAACATCGAAGTAGGTCGAAGCGCGCTTCCGGGTCAAGATGGCAGCGCTCCTCAGAAGCATGTTTTTCGGCTGGAAGACCGTCGCGATTGGGCCCCGCAGTCGAAAGCACGTGCTTGAGGCCTACCGCGGGCGGTACGCCAAGTGCCGAGAACGCCTCGAGCTCCTTCAGCGGTGAGCTTGGAAGACCATTGATATCAAAGCTCATGGATTGTGCTAGGTACCGCGTCATTTCCCAGGAAATGGTCAAGGACGAGCTGCAGAAAGACACGATTCGAATCATCCGCGAGCGGTCCGTGTACCACAAGCGGCGCATGTACTTTCGCCTCCTGCGAGACTGCGTTTGGTTGCCGCTGCAAGCCAACATTCTCAAGGCCGACACACACTTTGAGACGTCGATGGTGCGCAAGGTCGCCACGGCGTGGGTCGCCCACTTTCGCAACTTTCAACTCGAGCGCGAGATTCAAAAGCTCAACGAGAAGCGGACGTTTGAGCGCTTTCCGCAGCACTACAACATCCGCCGCATCGAGTACCACTACCGCCGGACGGTCCTCACCAAGCATTTGCGCGCGTGGGGCCAGCTCAACCGCCGCCTCAAGACGGTATTTGTTTCAAGTAAGTATCAGTGTATCAATATTGCAAAATGCAGGTGCAAAAGCGGTACGAGCTGGCCGCGCGCCGGTCACTGCGGCACATGTTGCTCCTGTGGCGCGTGCGGTCGGCGTACCAGCACTCGCTTCGGGGCACGGTCATCGACGAGTGGCGCAGCTACTGCCACCGCGTCTTCCAGGTAGGCAGGGTCCAAGTTGGGTGCACTCAGACGCTGCGTACAGGTGCCGTTCCAAGCGTGGGTGCTCTACGTGGTCCGGCGCAAGCAGCGCCATACGTCCCAGGCCAACTTGATCCGCGCGTACCACCGCCGCCAGGCGCGGCACACGGCGTACTCGTTTTTCCGCGTCTGGAAACACCAAACTATGTTTGGCCACGTCGAGGGCATCCACACCCGCGTGCAGCTCATCTCGACGCTCGAGCAGCAAAAGATGTACTGCCTCTCGCTCGAGGCCAACGCGCTACAATACCAGTCGATGATCGCCGACCTCCAAACGGCGCTTACGGACGAGCAAGCGCGGCTCGCGGCCAAAGAGGCCGAGCTCGAAAAGCTCGTGCTTGAGACCCAGGCCACGCGGTGCGATGTGCCATCGCGCACTACGTTCTTAGTTTATGGTAGGTTTGCCATGCACAATGCGGAGCAGCAGATCGCGCGCACACAGAGCTTGCTCAACGCTGTCCGCGACATCCACCCTGGCAGCATCAAGCGCATCGAGCGCTTGTACAGTCAAGAGAGCGTCCTTGCCGGCGAACTCAGCGACGTCGTGCACTTCCACATCGCCCGAACGGCCGACGACCAGGCCGCCGAGGCCGCCGCGAACGAGGCGCGCGTCCTGCAAGAGCACATGCAAGTGCGTGCCGAGGACGACCAGCGGCTCTTGCGGCGCGTCAAGTGGGTGCTCTCGCGCCTGGACCTCAACTACAACTACGACGAGGTCCGTTGGACACCATGGATTGCAGCGTGGCATTTTCTATGGCTGTAGTACCACGAGTCGTTGCTGGGGGCACCGTTGCACGAGTCGACCGTGCCGTACTTGGCACAGATGAACCAGATGTACGCACTCTTCGAGTTCCTTCGGTCGGGCGAAACGGCGTCGCTCCTCGAGGAGAACGTGCCAATGACAAAGGATGAGGTGCCGCTGGGCCCGTCGCTGCTCGTGCCCTCGGACGTGGCGCCCGAGAGCGCCGTCCGCCGCCCCAACCTCATTGCGTCCGACGGCATGTGGCACAAATTTGTGCAAAACGTCGCGCAAAAGTTCCCGCCCAAGCGCCACGTGCCCATCCAAGTGCGATAGTTCAATGTCTTTTGCAGTTGTAAATGCCGTGTGTAGGACCGCATCATCAGCTACGCGCTCAACCGCGACGAAGCCAAGCGGATTGCGGCCTTCAACGAGGACAAACCGACCATCTACAGGTCGTGGTGTAGCAGCGATTGATCTCACATCGGAGTAGACGCGTGTACGCCACAATGAAGCCCAACGAGACGGACGACGAGGACGAAGCCAATGACAGCGAGACGGCGTAACAAGTCCGACGGACCTGTTTATGGAGCCTTGACCATCTTCAATATGGTTGCGTATGGATTTGGCTCCACACACACACCAGTCGTGCGAGAAATTGGCCTCAGCCGAGATACCTCGCATGATTGTGTTTCAAGGGGATGACACACGAATATCCATAGCTATAGCGTCGGAAACGAATCCAAATATGTGGGCGGCCAGAACGTTTTGTCTATAAAGTTGTGTGGTGAGGGTGGATCAGGCCAGAATTGTCCAGCACCATTCAAAGGACTCGGCCCACGTTGGTTGTAACGAAAGGTGTGTGTTACAATCATCGATCATCTTCCCATGATGGGACGGCAACCTTCAACCGTCTGAGACTAGTGGTACGTAGCCTACTATAATAGTACGTACCACTGAGTCGGCGTGCGGTGTATATGGATTAAACATCCTTAGCATCTGTGTTCTATGTAAATCCCGCGCACCAGATATGCAGGTGATGCTGACACCAGACTTTGGCCAGTCCAACTACGCCTGCGTCAAGCAACAGGACCATCGCACATACAGTGAGTAGCTCTATCAGTTCTGGCACGAAAGATACCAAGGCATTACAATGGTCCCCCTATCACTCTGGCCGGTAATCACGTCGTCCGGTCACTATGGGAGACCGGTGCGCGTCGACGAGAAACAATTGAGAGCTATCGATCAACCAAGCTCACAGCAAACTAGACGTAAACCTAATGGGGACCTCGAGGGAGGATCTGGGTTGCTGGCGCGGGGGAGGATCATGGTGTTTTTGTTCTTGCTCGTGGACGAAATGAGGCTCGGGGATGCTGCTTGATTATCCTCGAGTCCAGCTTCCAACTGGTCACGACCGAAACAGCCGGACACATCAGATTGAGTGGCAAGGGCTCGGCCCTCAATCGTAGTTTTGATTTTGCAACGCCATGCTCCAGTCTCTCTTGACGTTGGTAGCTGCGGGTCTTACGGCTGCCGTCGCGGCGCCGTCCGCGGTTCTTCCGAGTGCTTGCTACTCGCCCTTTCACCTCGATGCGTACCCACTCAACGACCCGAGTCTCTTCAACTACACCACGCTCAGCGCCGGTATGCACGACGACTTCGCGCTCATGCAGCCGCTCGTCCACGCTGTGCGGACGTACTACTCGTCGTACTATGGCGTCGACGTGACGCCAATCGCCGCTGCCCACAACGTCCCGCTCTATCTCGGTGTCTACATGACATCCGAGGCCTGGTACAGTCACCAAGTCGAGGCTGCGATCGTGGGGGCTGTCAACTACCCAGCGACCGTCAAGGCGATTCTCGTCGGCAACGAAAACGTCGTGCCGTACGGCATCTACACCACGTCGTACATCACGGACCAGATGCAGTACATCAAGTCCGAGGTTGCCCGGCGCTCCAACGGGACCGTCAACGTCCAGGTCGGGACCGTCCAACGCGTCTCCGAGTGGCTCAACGCCGACATCCGAGCCAATATGGTGGCGCTTGCAAATGCGTCGGACATCATCGGCGTCAACATCTACCCGTTCTTCAGTAGCGGGTACGACGTCAACAAGCCGGTAGCGATCCTTGACGCTCTCTGGAACGAGATGCTCAAGGTGTACCCAGCATCAAAGCTGCGGCTGACGGAGACAGGGTACGCCACGGCCGGCAACAACCTAACGACGGTGACGCCCACCGTGGTGCCCAGCCTCGCGAACGCAATGGGCTTCTACAACGGCCTCGTTCAGTGGTCGCCGGCGGCTGGCGGCGGCGAAGCGTTTTGGTACACGTTCTTTGATCCGCGCGCAGACGACAAGACGCAACCCGAGCCGTTTGAGACGTACTTTGGCTACTACACGGCCAAGGGGCAGCCAAAAGCAGCCAATTTTCCCGTGGCCGTAAACCCAGTTTTCATCCCGCCAACACCGACGCCCACACCGACGCCCACACCGACGCCCACACCTACACCGACGCCAACACCGACGCCGACGCCGACACCGACGCCGACACCGACGTCAACACCGACACCGACGCCGACACCGACGTC